ATGTAACAAACTATCTTTTCAATGAAAATTGCCTCCTCACCTGCTGACCTCATAATACCTGAATAATAATAAAGCCTACATTTTAGAACAGTTCCTCAAATACTTATGCTAATTATTTTAAGATCGTAAAGAAAGCCTCTCCTTCCAAAAATCCAAGAAGACGGAACACTTCCAAACTCATTTTATGAGGCCAACATAATCCTAATTCCAAAACCAGATAAAGACTCTACAAAGAAAGAAAACTACAGGCCAATATCCCTGATGAACACAGTTGCCAAAATCCTTAACAAAATATTAGCAAATTGGATCCAGCAATACATCAAAAAAATTATTCATCATGACCAAGTGGGATTCATCCCAGGGATACAAGGATGGTATAATATTCACAAATCAATAAATGTGATACACCACATAAACAAAATGAAAGATAAAAACCATTTAATCATATCAATAGATGCTGAAAAAAGCAAAATCCAGCAGCACCCATTTCTGATAAAAAATGCTCAGCAATGTGGGAATAGAGGGATCATATCTCAACATAACAAAAGCCATATATGAAAAACCAACAACCAACATCATGCTCAATGGGCAAAAACTAAAAGCATTCTCCTTAAGAACGGGAACAAAACAGTGATGCCCACTTTTGCCACTCTTATTCAACATAGTACTGGAAGTCTTAGCCACAGCAATTAAACATGAAGAAAAAATAAAAGAAATCCGAATTGGAAAGGAAGATGTAAAATTGTCATTATTTGCAGATGACATGATATTGTACATAGAAAACCCCAAACACTCCTTCAAAAATCTACTAGAGTTAATAAATGAATTTGGCAAAGTAGTAAGATATAAAATTAACATCAAGAAATCAATGGCATTCTTATACACCAACGATGAACTCACAGAAAGAGAAACTAAAAAAAAAAAATTCCATTTACCATTGTAGCAAAAAAATTAAGATACCTAGGAATAAACTTAACCAAAGAAGTAAAGAACCTCTTCACAGAAAACTACAGAACATTGAAAAACGAAATAGAGGAAGATATAAAAAAGTGGAAGCACATATCTTGCTCATGGATTGGAAGAATTAACATCATTAAAATGTCCATACTACCCAAAGCAATCTATAGATTCAATGCAATCCCCATCAAAATACCAACGACATTCTTCACAGAACTAGAACAAATACTTCAAAAGTTCACATGGAACCAAAAAAGACCCCACATAGCCACAGCAATCTTGAAAAAGAAGAACAAGGTTGGCGGGATCACATTATCAGATTTCAGGTTATGCTACAAAGCCACTGTAATCAAAACAGCCTGGTACTGACACAAGAATAGACAGATCAGTGGAACAGAACAGAGAACCCAGAAATTGACCCAAGACAATATGCTCAGTTAATATTTGACAAAGGTGGCAAAAGCATACAGTGGAGTCAAGCCGTCTCTTCAATAAATAGTGTTGGGAAAATTGGACAGTTACTTGCAAAAAAATGAAGCTAAACCACCAACTTACATCATACACAAGAATAAACTCAAAATGCTTAAAAGACTTAAATGTAACTCATGAATCTATAAAAATTCTAGACGAAAATGTAGGCAACAAAATTTTAGACATATGCAGCAGAATATTCACTGATACCACCCCTAAGGCAAGAGAAACAAAGGGAAAAAAAAATGAACACATGGGACTACATCAAACTCAAAAGCTTCTGCACAGCAAAAGAAGCAATCATCAAAATGGAATGGGAACTCACCATATGGGAGACCATAATTGCCAATAATGCATAAGATAAGGGATTGATTTCCAAAATATATAGAGTACTCATACAACTCCACAAAAGGAAGACAAAGAACCCAATTAAACAAGTGGGTAGAGGACCTAAATAGACACCTCTCCAAACAGGACATACAAATGGCCAAGAGACATATGAAAAAATGCTCAACGTCACTAATCATCAGAGAGATGCAAATTAAACAACTATGAGGTATCACCTCACACCTGTCAGAATGGCCGCCATCAACAAATCATCAAACAATAAGTGTGGGCGAGGGTGTGGAGAAAAGGGGACTCTAGTACACTGCTGGTGGGAATGCAGACTGGCACAGCCACTATGGAAAACAATATGGTGTTACCTCAAAAATGTTAAAAATGGAATTGTCATTTGACCCAGTGATTCCACTTCTAGGAATATATCCTAAGAAGCCTGAAACACTAATTAGAAAGAATATATGCACCTCTATGTTCATAGCAGTGCTATTTGCAATAGCTGAGATCTGGAAACAACCCAAGTGTCCATCAGTAGATGAGTGGATAAAAAAGCTGTGGTACATGTACACAATGGAATACTATGCAGCTGTAAGAAAGAAAGATCTCTTATCATTTAAGATGACAAGGAGGGACCTGAAGAGTATTATGCTAAGCAAAACAAGCCAAGCAGAGAAAGACAAATATCACATGATCTCACTTATTTGTGGAATATAATGAACATAACAGTTTGAGGAATGGGGTAGTCCTAGAGACGTGGAAGTGGAGTACAGACTGACAATCCCCAGAAAAGGGGGTGGGGGGAGCGATAAACCACAGAACTTATATGCATGTATTCATGAACAATGGACATGGACAACAAAGCTGGGGACAGGGCGGGGAGGGTGGGGGAGGAGGGAATCAGTGGGAGAAAAAGGAGAAACATCTGTAACAAAAATAAATAAATTAATTAAATAAAAAAATAAGTACACATAAGGTAATACACAATTAAATTGTTATTGAAAGCCACCAAGCAGCAAAATACAAGTAAAGATGTTAAAACCTATGTGGTCAGTGTTAACCAGTTATTGGAAGGAACACATCAAGTTAATAACTGAAAAATTAACCTGATGTTGAACAAAATACAGTTTGTCGAAATTTATCTGTTAGCATTTACCAAATTCCTACAACAGGTTGGAATTTCACTGTTTTAAACAAGAAAGAGGGAAAGTTGAGAAAGAGGGAAGAGAGAAAAATTATCAAGTGAATCAAATGATTTAATAATAAAACAATATTGGTGAAGGAATTGGATTGTGAATGAGAAAAAATGAACACTGGATAAGGGGGCTGAAGAGCAACCAGCAAGGAGTCAAAGTTGCTATTTGGAAGTGGTGATTGGCAGCTATTAAGAATTTCCAGAGTGTGGGTGAGAAGAAACAAACCTCTGTGCCTGGGGGACCTCAGCTGGGTATCAGGAAGAATCGCTGACTGTAAATGTCAAGAGCTCTGGTTTACTGGATCAAAGGGAGGCTTCTGGGATGTATCTATCCTTGGAGTATTTTTCAGCCTCAAGCAAGAGACTGTTTGGGAGGTTTTCTGCAGCCCTGTGGATAGACTGGACGGCCTGCTCAGAATCTCATGTTGCTGAGAGGCGTGCCGAACACAGCTGCATTCACAGTGTCCTTGCCAGCTGCTGACTCCCAGCTCAGAGGCCGAAAGGAACAACTAAGTCTTTCACTCTCTGTTTCTCACTTGGACCAGTCCTCTGGTGTATAGTGTGGTTTTTCAGCTCTTGAGCACTTAGGTACTTTTCTTCTGAGCCAAGGGCCTCCTGGGAACAATGTAGCATCTGTGTGTTGACAGTAACAGCCTGTGAGCCAGAGACACTTGGCCAAACTCTCCCTCCCACATGGGCTGGATTGCACACCTGACCTGCAATAATCCATGCTTAGTCAGCACTAACCTGCCCCAGGGCCAAGTGACCTGCTCCTCCTACCCCTTCCCCAACCTGTTACCTGATTCAGTTCTGAGCAATTTGGCTATATTTGTAGTAATCCTCATGCAGATGGTCTCTACCCACCTCCCATCCCACCCACAGAGTGAGCAATAACACATTAGTGGCTCATAGCCTGACACTAAACAGTGGTACTGAAGGGTGAGGTACCTACTGCTCAGTTGGGCAGCTGGGTATTTACAAAGGTTTGCAAAGAGATGCCAGTCTTCTCCTATAACATTATTGCCTTTTATTTATCATGTGATTGTTGATTTACATGGGGGAGTTAGGAACGCCAAACAAGCATAGAGGTTTTACAGGGTCTGTTTCTGCTGAGTTCAGAACCTTGGGAACATCATTTGACTTCTGGCAAAAAGACAATTCCACAAAGGTGTTTAAAACCGTCCTTTTGTTCTTGGCCCAGAGTGAAAGAGGGGGACATGTGCTTATGAGGAAAATAGAGTTTCAACTCTTCGGTAACCCTGACAGAGAAGAAACTGTTTAAGTCATGTGCAGTGTCCAAATTCAACATTAAATGGCAAGTCAGAGCAATTCCCTTCGAGTCATGTCCCTTCTTCATAGTGGTTTTACAGTATTTCTCTTAAAGCCTCCATCCAGTGGCATCATAGTGGTACTACAGCATATGGCCTACATGATATGGATGCATAAGAGAAAAATGAATGGGCAGTGAGAGAATAGAGGCAAATTAAGAGAAAGGACAAGGAGAATACATGAGAATTTAAAGAATAAAATGGAGCTCTGTGTGTGTGTGTGAGGGCCTGATGATTTTGTTCTTTGGTGTCTCTGTGGTTTGAGTTGCCCTTCTTTATTCAGCAGAAAGTAGATACTTGGTGTTATGCAGAAGTAGCACAGAGAAATCAGAGTTCCACCTTATGAGTCTTTTCTTCTGATTCATGATTTTCTCTCTGAAAAACACCATGACAAGATATTTAGATCTGGAGTCCACTCTTATTTTTGAGCTCTAGGATTAGAAAATTTAGCTATTTAGTTACTCCTGGAAGCCTTAAATCTACCTGCAATTTTTATCTCATAAACTCCTTTAAAATTTTTTTCTTCTTTATTGATTTTTTTAGAGAGAGAGGAAGGGAGAGGGAGAGACAGATAGAAACATTGATGAGAGAGAACATCGATTGGCTGCCTCCTGCATGCCCCCCACTGGGGATTTGGCCCACAACCTGGGCATGTGTCCTGACTGGGAATCAAATTGGTGACCTCTTGGTGAATGAGTCGATGCTCAACCACTGAGCAGCACTGGCCAGGATCTCATGAACTCTTTATATGGGATTTGATTTGTTTCCCATTAATATTGTTCAGAGAATGGTGAAATCCAAAATTCAGCACCTTTGAATAGGCAAGACTTTCCCCCAAATTCTTTTGTAGTTCTATTCACATGACTATATCCTAAAGAGCATCCTGACTTTGTCTACTGTGTCCTCATATACCTTTGCTCTTAATTGACCCCAGTGGAGTCCAAAGAGTTTTTATTCAATAGGAATATTAGAGACATAGGAAGAAAGCTCAACTTGCCTTCCCTGTAGTCTCACACTCACCAGCCTTTTCCCGCCTAGGAATCCATCACAGAAGTTCTGCACGAGCTCTATTGAAACTTCTGCCGTGGTCAGTGTATCCCACTCCTCATCTAGAGTCCGGTAAATGGCCAAAGCAGGCAGTTCAGACTTCTTTAGTTTGAAAAATGATATCACCTTCCCATTTTCCTTTACACCACTGTCCACCAGAATAAAAAGAACCTGCAGTTGGAGAAGTTCGAAAGAGAAGGTCTATCTGAGATTCCGGGGAGAAAATGACACCTCGTAATTGTGGCAGTTTACTCTGACTGAATTTATAGTTTGTGCCACGTAATTTAAATCTCAGTGGAATCAGAATGCATTTGCTCTTGCTTTGTATTGCTTGGGTATTTTTATCCCTTTGATTGGTTTGGTTTAATTTTAAGAACACAGAATTGGAAGAGACTTTAGTGATGAATTTTAGTGATTAAGTAGAGCCTAATGGTTAGAAGTGGAGAATAATTTTAAAATTTTGCTTCTGGTACTTTTTATCTGTGTGACTTTGAGCACATTACTCAGCCTCTCTGAGACTCAATGCTCTCATGGGCAAAATGGGCTTTTTTGGGGGGAGATTAAATGAGAGGACGCATTTAGTATTTCTAAGACATTTTTGGCATAAAGTAGGTGCTTGACAAATGTTAACTATTTTATATTATTAAATCAAACCTTCCACCTAAAGTAGAAATCTTATTTATACTATTTTGGTTAGAGGATTATTTATATTTAGCAACACTGAAATTTACAGTGTTATGGAAACAACCACCAGAAGTTCAGTTTATTTTATCATCAGACAGTTCTTATCATTGAACAGGTCATTTAGCTCAATGCAGTGACCTTGAAGTTGTTTACTGGTAAGTGATATAAAGCTGAACTGTACAAGGTAGGGAAGGGGAAGAAATATATACTTATTGTCCATTAGGCACCAGGTACTGAACATTCATTAGGTACCAGGTATGTGATACTGTTTGATATAGAAAATAAGCACTGAGGTCTAAAACTTTAACAGATTATGGCAGAAATAAAAAAAAAAAAAAAAGGTATGAAATAGGTGATTTTTATTTTCCATATCTTTGAGTCTCTGTTTTGTCTTCACTTCTCAATGTAGGAAAAAAGCAACAGACGTTACCAGTAATGGAAGATGTAATTATACAAGTCTTAAAAAGTACAAAAAACAACATCTTTACTTTTAAATCAGAGTAATGTGATTTATTATGTCCCAGTTCTTACTTTAATCTCTTAACCAAACTAGTTTTCCTTATTAATCTCACTGCCCTAGCTCCACCTCCCCTTTTGTACTGCTCTGGTGCTGAGTTTTCAAAAAGGTGTCTCACATACCAGACTTACCTTCCCCTGGAAGAGCTTAGCTGCCTTCTGGTATCTGTGCATGCTTTCTTCATACTCTGGGGAGGCCTTGTTCATCATTAGGAGAAGATGAATCTGAACCATGCTGTTAAATAGGCCAATCACAGTCTGGCAAATTGAAATGTATTTTAGTAGAATAAAAGAGAGAGGGAGGAAAACAAAACCCATTAGTGACTAGGTAGACTGCAATATAAATGAGAGTTGTTAATCTACAGCACAAATGGTAACTAGCCTCGAAGATGCTTATCAGGAAGGCTCACCCTCTGGTTCTCATGCAACCGTGTTGACCCCTTTCCCTAACACTGAATAGGGCTGAGCGGGGTAACCAGTGAGATATTACAGAGACGATGGAGTGTGACTTCCAAAGTTAAGTCATAAAAGACATCATAGTTTTTGCTTTGCTCTCTCTTATATCACTCATTATGGGGAAAGTCAGCCCCAATGTTGGAGAAATTCACATGGCAAGGGAATAAGACCTCCTATTAACAGCCATCATTGACTTGCCGGTCAGGTGACTGAGCCATCTTTGGAAGCAGATCCTCCAGCCCCAGTCACACCTTCAGATGCCATTGCCTCCCTGACCAGTGACTGTACCCTCACAAGATGCCCAGATCAGAAGCATCTAGTCTAACCACTCCAAGACTGTTGACCCACAGAAAATATGTGTAATCAATTATTACCGGTTTTAAGCTGCCAAATTGGGACAATCTGTTATGTATCCATAGACAACAAATACACCATGTAATATACTTGTCACTTTGACTACATATTAGTAGTGCATACTTTTGAGTGTCCACTGTTTGCTGGGCACTGTTTTCAGGTCTCTATGTATAACAACTAATTTAATCCTCTAAGTCACAGTTTTATAAATGAGAAAATTGAGGCAAGAACTCCCAAAGTCACATAAACGGTGGACTGGGATTAATACCAAGCTGTCTGGCTCCAGAGTCTGTGCTCTGAACCATCAAGATGCACTACCTCATACACAGCTGAGTGCAAAACCACCTCTGAAGCAGCTCTGCGCGCAGTGTGGTTGAAGCAGTCTACTTCAGGTCAGCCATATGATAAGTTCTTCCGGAGACCAGAAGCGGTGGCCCTTTTTCCTGATTTCCTATGAAGCTGTCAGTGATAGAGGTGGGTGGGATAGCATGAGCCAGTGAGGAGAGGAGAGAGTGAAACCCGGGCACCGGGTCCCTTCATTTCACTTTCCTGAAATAGTATTACAAGTGTCTTTATTTAAATAAGTCCCATTCCATTCCACCTCTCCCTTTAAAAAACAGAAAGCATTGCTATGAAACCAGCACACGCAGGGAGAGAGAATATGGGGGTTAATGAACCACTGGGCAGAGTCCCAGGATGGTAGGAAGGGGAGCAACTAGGTAGGATTTTTCTGGAAGCTACACATTGCTCTGTACAGATTCTCTAGCTCTCTTGGCCAACACATAGGCAAGAGGGTCCCAATAGGTTCTTTCCCCAAAATTTCTCCCTATCGTTCAAAACTAGTTCTTAGATTTTAAATTTCGGAGACCAGGTATTAAATAATTGTCTCTTGTTTGATTAGATTCTGCTACTTAAATTTAGAGCAGCATTTACCCCCCCAGAGCAGACATGGGGGGTAATTCTTGAGAAGAGTCAATAAATCAAAGCTAAGTAGTTAAAGGTGCTGTTGTCTTAGCAGAAGGGATTAGACATATCAGAAGTGATTAGTTTAATCTTAAAACACAGCCTGATAATTCACCTTGAAGCCAAGGATTGAGTGTGTGCATTAAAGTGCAGAGAAGGCCAGACACATGGCTGTGAGTTCTGCCCAGTTGCTACTGGTGCCAATCTCTGCACCAGAAGCAGCCGAGAAATAGCTATGCAGTGTGGGCAGGTCTCTAAATGAGAAAAGTACTACTTTTGGGAAATGAAGAAGTTACAGTAAAATTTAAACTTGCTTATCTAAAGAAATTCTTATTTAATTTCTTCTTGATGTGGTTTGCCTTCACTATTAAAGTGCAACTTAAAAAAATATGTTATTGTTCTCTACAATAAGAGCTGGCCCGGGCATAAGAACTCAGGAAGTTCAGTCTCTGCCCCTGCCTTAGCCTGCAGAACTCCAGGAACCTGAGGCCATGAACTCAGGGATCATAAAATACGTTTTTCTGGTTCTACGTGCACTCCTGGAAGAGCTATAGACACAATGATGAGAATCATGATGGTCTAGGAGAAAAGTGCCTTTTCAATTATTGCTGCCAGCACCCCCAGGGTGTATGTGTCTGAAATCTTAGCAAAAGTGGAAATGGAGTCACCACTCCACGGAGACAAACATGGTGTGAGAGGTGGACAGGAATTTAGTCAACAGGAAAAGGGGTGTTTTCTGTTGAAGGCTGTGTAGGGCAATGGAAAAACCACAGGCTTCAGTCAGACAGACCAGTCATGAAAAAAGCAGGGACAAGTGCAGAGGGCTGTTTCTGAAGCTCAAATTGTTAGTCATATGGCTTTGAGGAAATTACTTCACTTTTCTGAACTCCCCTTTCCTGAGCTGGAAAATGGAAATAGACAATATGGATTAACGCATCATGAGTTAAATATTCTGCCTTGAATTAGGCCTTTTTTGCTTACTGTGTGATCTTGAATAAGTCACCTGGATTTTGAATGTTCTCTTCTATAAAATGGGCATAATAATTCCCTCCCTTCTACCTCAAATAATCATAAGTGAGAACAGGGTGGGAAAGGGTATTGTAATTTCTAAAAATCATGACACGCATGTAGAATACTGTTATCAGAGAATGCACAGCAATTCTGAGCTGATGTAGATCACTAGAAATTAATACTCCATCACTCTATGATCTCTGTCAAAGAAAATAAAGGTCAGGTTGTGTAAGGTAATTCTATAAGCGGTAGAGTGTTAGACGGCCAGAATATTATCAGGACAGGTAATAGACCTATACTTTTACCCAGCCTACATACAGCATGCAAAACTAAAAGAAAACAAATCTAGAAAGAAAGCTGAGTCCCTGAGAGTCTAGGTACCCTCAAACACATGAGGGTCTAGGTATGTGCAGGAGGTGGTGCCAGACCTGGAACTGTTAGTTACTGGTCCACCAGGAGGTAGGCACAAAAAATGGGCAGAAGTGCATCAAAACTTTTATAGAAATTTTACATAACGGTGACATCCAAATATGTTATCAGTACGCTCTATTTTTAAAGAAATTTTTTGTCTCTTAATTTATTTTATTGCACTTCCCAAAGGTATTGCTTCCTGATACTTTAGGGGAAAGGGGGCCTTCCACATAGATTGCAATCCCGTTGAGGAGTGTGATCAGAGTTGCCTTCATGGAACACTCTCAGGCAGCAAAACTCAGAGGTTTTTGAATCAGTCACCTTGATTGCATCATGCTCTCTTTTCTTATTAGTCCTGTGATAGGTCATTCAACTTTTTTGATTCTGTTTATGTCTTTGTTGAAAAGGGACAAGTCTCTCAACCTTATAGGTGTAGCAAGGGTGACAACATAAACAACTAGTTGTTCAGTTTGTTGCAGATATTATTGGTCAAAGTATCAGCACTCCTGGAGGAAAAGACCTCTGCTGTGGAGACAAGCACCTCCCCTGACACAGGGACTCAGGGCCTATTGTTTACCACGGGGTTGTACTCTGTCACGAAGCGGAGACTGTTGATCTCAATGAAACGGCTTAATTTGCTGTCATCAATGCTTTCGATGTCTTCTGTCCCTAAATTCAGTTGTTCGTTATCCACCTGGGTAACACAAAAATAATAAAAATTGTCACTGTTCTGTCTCTATTCATTCATTGACAAATGTTTCTGGACTATCTACCATGTGTCAGGCCCTGACTACAGCTCCAAATGCAGAAAGGTAAATAGGAAATGTTACCTGCCCTGGAAGAGCACACTGTCCTGTGGGATACAGAGTGAACAGACATGTCCCACAGAATGTAGCAAGTGTCACCACAGGGGCATTATAGGCCCATATGCCATCCGAGGAAGAACAGAAATGCTTTCAGGAGCAGATAGCTCCCTTAGAAGGCTATAAATGCATCCTTAAATTTTATATATAAATTATCTTATCATTCAGCTCAAAATATTTTTAAATTTCTGTTCTTATCCCTTCTCTAAACTATTGGTGATTTAGAAGTGTAGTTTTAAATTTTAAAGTAAGATTTTCTGGTTATTTTCTTGTTATCAATTTCTAGCTTAAGTTTTATATTTTATATCTTTTGTCAACTTCTATATATGTTATATGTGCCTTTAATATTGTGTATATTCTACAGTTTTTGGATGTAATATTCTGTATATGCACATGTGGTCACACAGTCAATTTTATAGTTCAAATGATCTCCACTCTTACTGATTTTTAAAAATCAGTTAATTCTATCAGAAAAGAATGTTAAAAATCTCTCACTCTGATTGTACATTTAACCATTTTTCTTACAATTCTGCCAGTTATTCTCTCTCTATATTATCGGGTGATGCATTACATAAGTGCAAATTTAGAATCTTAAATCTTCTGGGAAAATTTAAACTTTATCATTATGAAAAGTCATTCTTTATTCTTTTTTTTCACCTTTATTTTATTTTATTTTTGTTACAGATTTCTCCTTTTCACCCCCATTGACACCCTCCTCCCCATCCCCGCCACCCTGTCCCTGGCTTTGTTGTCCGTGTCCATTGGTTATGCGTACATGCATATAAGTTCTGTGGTTTATCTCTTCCCTCCCCCCAGAAACCCCACCTCTGGGGGTTGTCAGTCTGTACCCTACTTCCACATCTCTGAGTCTAACCTATTTTTTAGACTGTTATGTTCATTATATTCCACAAATAAGTGAGATCATGTGGTATTTGTCTTTTCCTGCTTGGCTTGTTTTATTTAGGATAATACTTTCCAGGTCCCTCCATGTCGTCTCAAAGGATAAGAGATCTTTCTTTCTTACAGCTGCATAGTACTCCATTGTGTATATATACTACAGCTTTGTTATCCATTCGTCTACTGATGGACACTTGGGCTGTTTTCAGATCTTAGCAATTGTAAATAGTGCTGCTATGAACACGGGGGTACAAATATTCTTTCTGATTGGTGTTTCAGGCTTCTTAGGGTATATTCCTAGAAGTGGGATCACTGAGTTATATGGCAGATCACTTTTTAATTTTTTGAGGTAACACCGTATTGTTTTCCATAGTGGTTGCACCAGTCTGCATTCCCACCAGCATGTATTAGAGTCCCCTTTTCTCCACATCCTCACCAACACTTGTTGTTTGATGATTTGTTGATGGCGGCCATTCTGACAGGTGTGAGGTGACACCTCATTCTTTATTCTTTATGTCTAAGGATGCTTGTTGCCTCAAAGACTACTTTGTCCAATATTAATATACTTATTCCAGGTTTCATTTGGAAGTGTTTGCATAGTATATCTCTATCCTCTTATCTTTATATTTTACACATATTCTCTCAGTTTGGTTGTTTCAAATATCTTTAGTTTGCCCTGGCTGGTTTGGTTCAGTGGTTAGAGCATTGGTCCATGGACCAAAGAGTCTCGGGTTTGATTCTGGTCAAGGACACGTACCTTGTTGCAGTTCATCCCCAGCCCTGATCGAAGTCACGTGGGAAGCAACCAGTCGATGTCTCTCTGTCTCTCACGTGAGGTTTCTTTCTATCTCTCTCCCTCCCATTCTATCTGAGGATAAATGGAAAAGGTGAGGATTAAAAAATATATCTTTAGTTCACCTTTAATTTTAAAGGCTATTTTAGCTGGGGGTAGAATTTTAAGTTGACAGTTTCTCCCCCCAGTTTTTGCAAGATACAATTCTTTATATTCTGCATTTCATTCTTTCTTTTGAGAAGTCATTTGTGAACCTTAATATTGCCCCTTTGAGATTACTTTGCGGATAATTTATTTTCTCTGATTTAAGACCTTTCCAATTTTCTTTGAGAATCAGCTATTTTCTTTGAGAATCAGGTATGGTTAAGGATTATATGTAATAATATGCATAATTATATATGTCTGCAATTGTCTGTGTGTGTGTATATTTTTATATTCATATATGATAATTCTAATATAATTTCAAGAGTTGATATAACTTGAATCTGTGCTGCATCCCTTGGTTCTTCCTTGGTTTTAGTCTCTTGTTCTAATTGTTCTTTAGGGTCTAAAGTGGAGCAAAGGGTATATTACTAGATTTACTTCCTACTTTGTCTTCTGGGCTGTGGACTTCAACATCAACTTTTCTGGCTTTTTTGAGGGTCTTAAAAATGCTAATAAAACTCTCAACCTCTTGGCTGCTGCTTCTGGAACTTGCAAAAGCCTCCCAGATGAAAAGCACCCACAATATAGGGTTTACCTTTTAGGTTTCCATTTTCTAGATCTTAGTCTAGACATTTTCTCCTCTCTTGATAATTCTTTAAAACCCGCATTTTTTGGGTAGAGGTTTTTGGGTCTAGCTTTTTAAAAAATTGCCTTTGGTAGAAGGGATGCCTTATTTATTATCTCAGATTTACATTTTAGAACTACCTTTCCACCATACTCAGATATATTAAAAGATAGGGCTTCATATGGCCAATCACTGTTCCCAGATTTTCTCATTCATTTCCCCCAGTCTATTCATGCCCATAAAAACACAAGGTAGTGCTTCCATCAGACATAGCAACTACGTCTACAAGTACAAATGATCAGGGCCAGGTCCTGAACAATTTTGTTTCCTAAAATAGTTTGGATCACTTTTGAGATCCTTGAGCCACCACCTACCTTTGGAATCTCTTTAACCTCTGTTTCTTACATCTATTATATTATATAGGTTGTACCCAATCATATCTTGTCAAGGATCAGAATCATCCTTTATCTCAAGACACACTCTCCCATTCTACCCAGCAAAGTCAAAGGTAAGTACCCTTTTAGTTTCTGAATGAGGGAGTTTAGGCAGAAGGAAATTTAAGTCAATAAACAGCATGAGTCCAAGATTGTTCTTTATTGTCAACCCTACAATGACTCCATTGTCTATGTTTCACTTCTTTTGTTCAAGATGGTCTCCCATTGGGTTAATTAAAAACAATATGGACCTCCAAGAAGCTCAATGCACTCTTCTTGGTTAATTTTATTAATTCTCGGTGTGTCTAGTCATTCTTTTAAAATCCATTTGTTTATGAATTATTTGTTGTACGCCTTGTATATGTTAGGTGCTGAGGCACAGGCATGCTGACATTCACTCAAATAGCAATTTAATTACTTAATTTAATTTTATGAAAGGTGTAAGAGATCTTTCCTTCCTATCTTTGCAACTGTTATTTTTTTTTTTTAGTTTCTTCATATTTTATTTAATTTTTAATTCTTATTCTATTTATTTAACTAAAAAGGTGCAACAACAGTTTAAAAATCTGTATTTTAATCACTTTATTTTATGACCGTTTTCACAACTCAAATGTATCAAATAAATGCTGAGGTGCAGAAAATATTCACGTTTCAAAAAAGAATTTTGAAAAAAATTCATCAAAACCAAAGGAGATTTTAATTGTTTTAAAATTTACAAAGTTCTGAGTAGAAAGCTTGGGGCAGAGTATAAAAGCAAGAGAAAAGGTTTTCTTAGGTGAAGTCCTTGCCCACTCTCCTACCAAATCTCCCTCCCAAGTCCATAAGAGTGACGAGAGGAATAAAATAAGCACGTATAGATCTTTGCTGCTTACGACTTGGTTTACCAACTGGCATGTCTATTCCATACTTAAGTGTTTGCTAACTGCAACCATCGAAATCATCATTATTATAACCACAGTCGGAGTCTTTTAATACATAACGTGTCTAAGTACTTCCTGAATATTTTTCTAGGAACCTGGTGCCTGCCCTTCTGACAGCTGCCATCGCTGTGCTCTGGGCCAGGACCCCTCCCCCAGCTCTCTTTCCAGTCAGTCCCTCACATTTCCCAGAACAGGAAAACAGGAAGCGCCAGTTACATTAGGTATTGCTGGACCTGCTGGTCGCAGTATATTGGAAGCAGAAGATATTAAGTGATAACATTCTCCAAGAAGCAAAGAGCTCTAATAAAAATCACCTTGAAGTCTATCCACTTTGTAGCACTTCTTTTAAGGAAACACTCCGGCTTATTTCATTATTTCTTCAACTAGTAAACTCCGGAGCCTTCCTGTGTATGGCTCCTGGAAACAACATTTGAACAGGAAATCTCCCTTCTGTAAAGGGAGTTATTTGCATAATGCGCTTGAAAGAAAAATCTGACCCTGGAACTAAGAGTTAAGAAAAAAATTTTTATGTATTTTTTCATTTTTTGGAAAGACTTTAACTGGAGATATCATATTATTTTTCTTTCCAAGTGAAGAGACACCAGAAGAAAAACAGAAACAGTACACCAGAAGGTTTTCCACCTTAAAATATAATTTTGAGTTTCCCCAAGAGTACCTGAAATGAATTATATTTTAGACACTACTTATATCATACCAACAGATTTAGTCATTCCTTTTCTGTCAATTAGTACGTCAGCAAAATTCCTTTCAATTCCTATGTATTTCTCTAGTTAACCCAGTTTTTCATAAAATGCATTAAGGTCATCTTAGTTTACACCACAGTTATAGTATTAAATATCTTGTATAGTACTGAGAAGTCATTTGTTAAACAAATGCCCTTGTGTTCCTGGGTTTCTTTTTATAAGCTGCTTAGCTACTAGTTCTATCTGATTATTTGGCAAAGTGCATTTCTTACAAGTATCCAACAAATAATTGTAAAGGGAATAACAGAATGTCTCTGCTATATTTTCATTACTATCCCAACGGAACAAAGTTAGACTAATATTTTATTTTATTTTTTAAATAGAAGTGATTGAGAAAACCCAAAGCAGGTTAAATGTTAAAATAATATCTGAAATTCCATTTTGGGACAGGTTCATGGCTTATTCAGCCCAGGACTACGTCTCTGTTTGGACAATAAGTGTTCTTTTGACGAATGGGAAGGGTCTCTCTGCAGGCCCACTCACACAAGACGCGCTGCCATCCGTAACAAACAAGCTGTCATTCACGACTTCCTATTGTTCTATTTCACATATATTTTTCCTGATGATATTTACATAATCAGCTTGTACTATTTCCGGACAGTGATGCATTCCACGAATACAGATAGCATTTGCTGGTCTGTCATTTTTAGGCCCCGGCATTTCAAGCATCCAGTCATATTAACCATTATAGTCTTATTATGTTTTCACTCATTTAGTTTATCTCTACATATTTTCTTACAGTTGAAAATTCTATCTGTCTAAATTCTGAAATTTTCTTGACAAAATAAATAGTGTCTGGATTAAATCTTGACCAATCACCCTGGGGTTGATCAGCAGTGCCAATGAGATCTGGAAATGGTTTAGAGAGAGTGGATAAAAAAAGCAGGCTTTAGGATGAGGGGCATGAGAGTAGGTAGAATCTAGGAATAAAAAGAAAGGTTTTCTTCAGGAACAGTGCTTTGGAAAGTTGCTGTCGTGTCAGGAAAAGTCATGCTCTGAAGTGAGCAGTACAGAGTATAGACCATGTGTCTGTCGCGTTACAGTTGTGAGACGTTGGACAACTGAATCAACCTCATTGATAACGCAGGGGTATCAATATTGATACCCCTTGTTTTCCTTATTGATAACGCAGGGGTAACAATAATTATTTCATTTGATCCTTGTGAGAATTAAATGGCAGGACAATGGAATGCCTATCATGAAGCAGGCCCTGAAACAACGTCCAAATCTAAGATGAAAGGAGGTACCAAAAAGCTTGTACCAGCTCACGTTTCCCAATGTAAAGAATAGTTTCGGTTGATACTCTCTCTCTCTTTTTAAAAGGTATCTCAAACTCCTGAATAATAGTTCTACTAAAATATGGACTCAACTTTGAAAGTGTGAACTGAGAAAAAAGTGTTTATCTAAAAGCTGGAATGGCATCAGTTGAACCCCTCCCAGACCTGCAAATGGAGTAGGGCAAGAGCCAGTGTTTGTTTTTGGTATGGTACAAAATAATCCTGTGCGCAGAGGTCCCCAGAGTTCATTCAGAGCAGGTCTGTCACTAGTGGTAAACAAAAAACAGACGCTAAAGAAGAGCAAACAGCTCTGGGAAGTCATCATCAGGACTTTATAAAGAAAAAAATTGTAAGCAAAGTTACAACCCCTTTAGAGGTTGTAAAGCCTGTAGCGACATTGGAAGCAACAGCACTTGTTTTTCTTCCCCACGTGCGTATCTTGGTAGCACTAAGACTTTAAAGTCAGGCCTTCACAAGATCTATAAACCATAAACCAGGAAAGAAGTATTTATGGAGCCGTAGCTGATTAGAATTTTTGTATTGAAGGGTTTACTACCAATGGTTGGACTGCAACATGAGGGGCATTAACCTAACCTTACGTGTCTTTCTTACCAAAGCTTTTCACGGAAGAGCTTGATCCAACCCTTTGTCACAATGGTGAAAATGCAAACCTACACCTGCTTCCAGGTGGGGAAAGGGCTGCTGAAGGTACTCACGCACCTGCAGACAGATTTTTGGAGGTGAGTTAGTTCCTCAAATACTTTGTGAGAGTCTTCTGGGTACTAAAGACATATTGTAGACCTTTGGAGTGGAAAAATGAATGTCATTGTTTTTGCCCTTGAAGAGTGAGGGAAAAGACGAGACAGACACAGAAACACATGACCTACACTGTGAAGTGGTAAATGGAAGCAGAGGTATGAAAATCTGGAGGAATAGTTAGGCCAATCTGGAGATTCCAGGGAGGTTTCTGAAGGATAAGATGCCTGACCGATGCACTGGAATGTGAGGGTAAGGCCCAGGGAGGGGGAACACCTGGGCAGTGGGATTCCAGGCAGAGGACTAGCCTGTGTGAAGCAGTGGAACTGTATCATCATACTGTGTATAGTTGGGTGTTAAGAGGGTAAAGCTCAGGGTGGGAATGTGCTGGAAGAGGGAATAGAGAAGCAGATAGTGGCTAGGTCACAAAAGACTATATGTTTCAAAGTCTTGATTTTTTTACCTTGTAAGAAATGGGAAATATTTAAAAAATTTTAAGAAAGAAGTGGCATGGTCAAATTGCCATTCTAAATTCATCATTGTGATACCAATTTGGAAAATTACTTTTAAAGTAATAAAGGAAGATCAAGAAGCTAGGGATTGTCTGTGCCAAAGATGCTAAAAGTCTAAAGGAAGAAGGAAGCAGACAGGGAAAAAGAATACAGGCTCAGTAAGACAGGAAGTACAGTCAGAAAAAATGAGAGACTGAAGGACCATAGCCATTCAATAAAAAAGTATTTTAGAGGGAAGACCGTGATTCAGAAGGCGAAGGCGATATATTCAGTTTTGAACACGTTAAGATGGCAGTGCTTACGAGTATATTTAACCAGCCAGCATTTGAATTATGATAGATGTCCTGGCTAGAGATAAAACATTCCAAACCCTCAGCAAACATTTAATAGTCAAATGCGAGAAAAAAATTATATTACCTGAGGATTACACATTCATTCATTGATTCATCCACATATTTAATGAACACTTAATGGTCACCTGATACATGGTAGGCATGACTTTAGGCTCTGTGGCTGAAGTAATGAACTAAACAGTCTCTGCTTCTATGAAGCTTGGATTCTATAACCTACACTGGAAAGAGCATTGGGTCAGGCAGCAGTGTAGTTAGAGGAAGAGAAGGTCTCAAGGAGAGGAAGAAAAAGAAGAATACCAGGAGAAGTCAAGGAAAGAGAGATTAAAGAGAAAAAAGTGGTTAATGTGTCAAATATGGCAGAGATGTTCGGTATAATAGGACTTAAAGGTGTTCATTAGATTTGGAAATATGGGAATGTGCTGACCTGGATGAATTTTTTTTTTTTTTTTTTAAAGAATAGTTTATTGATTTTTAGAGAGAAAGAAAGGGAGAAAGAGATAGAAACATTGATGTGAGAGTGTAACATCAATCAGCTGCCTCCTGTACGCCCCCTAGTGGGGATCAAGCCAGCAACCACAACCCAGGCACGTGCCCTGACCGGGAATAGAACTGGCAACCTTTCGGTGCACAGGATAATGTCCAACCAACTGAACCACACCAACCAGGGCTAGATGAAAGCAGTTTTAATGTAGTGCAGGGGATAAACTAGATAGCAGTGTATTTAAGAGTTAAAGAAAGTTGGAGACACCGAGTACAAAATACATGTAACAAAGGTTTGGGTGAGAAGTGAAAGAGAGAGAGGATAGAGGCTAGAGGGGAAGGACATTCAATCCAGAAATCTTGAAACTATCTTTTGCTCAATTTTTCATTTCCAGTGGACTCTGGTCATCTTTTTTTTTTTTAAATCCCCACCCGAGGACATTTTTTTTCTCATTTATCCTAAGATAGAGCAGGAGGGATAGAGGGAGGAAGAGAGAGAGAGAAACATCGATGCCAGAGAGACACACAGTGGCTGCCACCCACATGACCCCAACCGGGGCCGAGGACAACTGCAACTGAGGCATGCACCCCCAGTGGGAACCAAACCTGGGAGTCTCTGGTCCGCGGGCCGATGCTCTAACCGCTGTGCCAAACCAGCCAGGGCCAACTCTGGTCATCTTTACTTTGATACTCTACCAATAATAGAAACTCAGCAACTAACCACAGCATCCCAAATCCTTATTTCCATATAGGCTCTCACTAGTCCTAGGTACCCTACCTTTAAGCTTTGCCTCCTTTCCATCATTGTGATATCTAATCTTTGCAGGACCTGCCTTTTCTTCACTTTGTGTGTGATCTCTCTACTACAAATCCTGAGTACATGATCTGTTTGCCAGCCTAGCAAAATTCTCTCCACTTATGTCTTTCTGCCTGGCAATCCATCCTATCCATCTCCAAAATCATGTTGCTAAAATACATTTCTATTCATGTTAGTCCTCTGATCTAAAGCCTTTAGGGTCTTTTTTGTGCCAACCAAATTAGTGAAAACCCATCAAGCTGGTATTCAAATTTCTCCACAATATGATTTCAATCAAGCTTCTCTGTCTTACAGTCATTTCCCCAAAGCAGGTACCTTGAGATCCAAAGTGTCCTGATCGCTGTTTCCCAAGTTACATTTTTGTTCCCATTTTGGCCATGAATTCTCTTTCGTCTTGTCCAAAAGTTATCTAGTCTTTAAACCCCAGTTCAGTTGTCTTTTTAATAAATATTTTGGTCAGAATACCTACACTGCTTTTATTCTTTGAGCACTTATAATACATTACCCATAGTGATGCTATTTGTATTATAGATACTTGTATATTATGTTTATAATCTCTACTCATTTTAAGATCTATGAGAGAAGAGAATATACTTAAGGTGTTTTTATTATTAACATCTTGCATAAGATATACAGTAGTTGTTTAATACATGTGTATCAATGTAAGTGAACTCCCAAAGAGATAAAAATATACATTTTGGAGCTCAAATAGATTTTAGAATTGATATGGTCAAACCATTTTATTTTACAGATGAAAGAATTGGAGTCAAGAAATGTTAAGTGACCTGCCTAAGTCACATGGCTGGTCAGCAACAGATCCCCTCTCCTGCCTCTCAGTCCAGACCTCTTTCCATTTCATGACAGCATCTGTTTGGGAAGCTTGAGTTGAGCCGTCATCCCTGTCATCGTTGTTCCTGACGCTGGCATCATCGTTAGTGTTAAAGACACAGACTTCTTTCTAGTCTCACAAGTTTGTGAGTTCACAACCTAAAGTAAGTAAAACTAGGAGAAGGCTCGAGATGCCCACCCAGCTTACCAGACGGAAGAGGGAAATGGTGTTCTCCGTGATGTTGTAGTGTGCCTGAACCTCGGAATCAGTGCTGATTCCAAATGACACGTCGTGGAATTTTTGCACCACTCCATGGAATACGGATACTGCTGGTATTTCTAAATCCTAAAAACAAGGGGAAAGAAAACCCCACAGAGATTATTTTGGAAGAAAAAGACATGGAAACAGAACAGGGAATTGAAATGTGCTCATTCATACCAGAAATCAGAAACTTGATTTCGTTTCCAAGTTGATTATGTTAACTGGTAACTACAAAATTATGGCTAAGCCCGAGACTCCTGTCTGGCCTTACCATAGCACTTGCAATTTATCAGTAGCTAAGAGAGGCCTCCAAATCACAGGGGCCTGCAAAATCGTGCAGTGTTGTCACTGGTATATCCGAGAAGGTAAATGCTTTAGGAACAATTTGTGGATGCAAAGAGAAATGCAAAAATAAGAAAGTGTTATCAAAAGGGCCAGAAAAAGGAGAGGAAAGAAATAAAAATGGAAGTTTAGAACTTTTGTTCACAAAGGTTTGTGCAGGGTGTGAAAGAAGTTTTCCTTCTACTGTGTGCAAGCCTGAGGTATTGTCCATGAAAGACACTGTTTACGAGTTGCTTCAACTCTGGGTCCCAGGCCAGGCAAACCACTTCTGAGCAGAGTGCAGTCTTACTATATAGCAAACCGACATAATTTTCCCTGTTGTCACAGGACCATTGTCCACAGCAGCTCCAGGTCATAAACAGGAGTCACACATTCTACCCTGACATCTCTTTGGGCTGAAGGAGATGTGCAAAGAGAAAAGAAGATGGAGCCACAGGGCTGGTACTTGGCTCATCTGAAAGGGTGTGTGGAGTTCATTGGAGCCTACCAACAATCGTTAATCTAGGCTTCCCCTTTTTTATTCTGCTCCTTAAAATGAAATTGCTCACAGATCAAACATCGGCCTCTGGTGGCTGTTTAAGTTATTGCACCTCCTCCAGTTCCACTTTCTTGCTCCTCCCTGCCTTGCAGAGGCTGGCTGTCTTTGTCGACAGCTCACATCTCTCTCATCACTGAAAAACGTGCTCTCTTCTCTTCCTCTCCAACTTACACCTCTCCTCACCGCTATTTCCAGCTGTGTACACAGAACCCACAGCATGGAGGGCCTTGGAATGAATGAACGGAAACTGACAAGGTCTGCCATGAGAGAGAAGGGGCTTGATCCGCTGCAAGAATCACCAGATGTTGCCTCCTGAGAAAGATAAAAATATTGGAGTGCTGCTCTAATTTATGTCTGCTTTCCTTATCCAGGCAGTCAGTCTGGAAGATGGAGGCTAACACCGTCAAACTATACAATGTCATCCATTTTCAACATTCAGCAAAAACAGAGAGATAGAAGAATGAGGGACTATCTATTTGGTAAGGCGTTAGACAGAGGTCATTGTGACTAATGCATTGCCTGGATGATAGAAGCTGGGTTTACTCTGGCCCCTGACTCCGCAATCAGACTCTGACTTAAGTTGCAAAGCATCCATCGATGAGGAGACCCAGTCAGCAGCCTCAGAACTTTTGAGAAAGACATACTTGAGAGACCGGGAATGTCTAAAAATGGAGAGTTCTTGAATGAAAAAGGGGAAAGCAAACTCTCAGCCCTTTGGCTTTTAATGTAGTGTCATCTGGCCAGCTGGGGACTCTCATGGCTCCTTTGAGGACTAGCATTTCTGGTTCTTTGGGGGGAGTAAGTGGGGTGTCTGGACAAACCTGGAAGAAGCCTATGACAGCCACCTCGGAAGCAGCAATGAATTTCACGGCAGCTGGGACATCCGTGAGCTGCACGGCTTCCTGGGGAGCACCGGAGCCATCTAGACACGCAGAGAGACAATGAGCGAGAAGCAGGAGGTGCCAGGCACCGAGCAGAGAAGCAGCAGCTCTGAATAAGAAGGGCATCTATTCTGCCTCTCTTCACACCAAAGCCAAGCGGCTCGAAGGGTGCAATTGTTATTCCAACGCTTTGTTTACTTTTGCCAACATACAGAGGGTGACCCCACCTTATGGCCGCTCTCTGAAGGATAATGCCAGTCTTTCTTCCTCTCCGCTAGGCAATACAGGTGTTTATCCAGCATTTCCTAATACATTTCCTAGGTTTAGAGGAAAAGTACGAAGAGTACTACCTCGTTCTCTTATTCCTGTCCCTTCTCCTATCACTTTCACCTTATGGCCACCCAAGTGTTTTTGGTATTTATTATTTTTATTTATTTATTATTTATATTTTTACCTGAGGATTCTTGAATTTCTGCAGCAACATCTGGGGACAGCTTGCACGTGAAGAGAAATAACAGAAACAGGCATCTGGATGGTGTGGCTCCCATTGTCCTTCTTCTGCTCCTGACCCAAGCCCTGGGCTTGGTGTTGGGGCACCGACTGGGGCACTGACTGGGGCACTTAATGGGCTGCTGTGTTACTAGAGCTTTGGGAACTTTGCAGCTGGCTCTAGGGGGACCTTCAACTTCTGAGATAAAAGACCGAGTTTAGTGACAGGGCCTCAGAACAAAACCAAACAAAAGAAAGTCAAGTCAGTTTATTTAAATAAGAAAACAATATTCTATGCCAGGCATTGACCTAAGCACTAGAGATACAAAAATGACTCGGATCTGATCCAGCCTGTCCCAGCTTAGATTGCTAATGTGAGAAGTGGACAAATGAACAGATCATTTACATATAAAATGAAAAGTGAAGAAAATGGGGAGCTCTTAGGGTGCTCTGAGAGTATGGACTAAGGCTACTCAGGCCAATGGTGGGACTCAGTGAAGGCTGTTTTTCCCTGCAGGGGATGCCCCAACAGAGTACTGAGTAAATAATTTTGCCAGGCAACAAAGACGAAAACGGAGTTTCATGTAATGATCCAAAGCCCAGAGATGCAAATGGAATGTGAGAGAGAATTATTAGCAACTGAGTATTCCAAAGAGAAGGAGCTGATTCATATGGGCAGAAGGACATGCTGGGGCCAGATCGCGGGGGGGCTTCGGGACTAAGCCCAGGTGCTTCCATTTTATTTTGTAGGTGATGGAAATCCATGGAAAGATCTTAAGTAGGAGAGAAACAATGTCTGATTTGGCCGACAGGCAGTGGGAAACATAGGTCTCAAGATTAGGCAAAAACTGCCATATGATAATACTATAAATAAAACAAATTGAGATTTTCTTCACTCATACTTTTAAGCTCATTGCCCATTGCAGGAACAGAGGACCCACACTGTTCCTAGTGATGTAGGTGCCCTCTCTGTTATGTCCTGCCCCACCCCCTCTGAGGGAACGCAATCGTTAACCATCCAGTCACCATTTGTTCAATGAAGAAAGCAGGGCAGTGAGGGTCTCAGGTCATACAATTGCTTTATTCTCACTCTCTTGAGCTGTTTAAGTGTCTCCCAGAAAAGAAGAACCCAAGTGGCAAGGAATGTGGCTAGGGACATTTACTGAGCCAGCAGTAACCACAGGAGAATCCAGGGGTGGGAATGAGCACTGGAACCCAAAGCAAAAGGGTAGTTAGTGATTGTTTACCCATTTCCTGGACTCTAGTTCCTCAAATGGGAATAAGAGGAGAAATATTAAATGATCGTGTATTGAGGAACAGAACTTCGCAGATCTGGCTATGATGGAGGATCAGAGGAGTGGGCAGGATTAAACCCTGGGGTTTAAGCATCCAGTGCCGGGGACCACTCTGAGAGACTGTGTGGGAGAAGATGCATCAGTAAGATGATGTGAGGGGTGTTGGGGAAGAGGCCCAGCTGTGATCAGGGAGGAGAGATGGGGCTGTGAACACGACGGAGAGGGTTCTTCCAGGTGACAGGGCGTGACAGGGGAGGATAGATGTGCTCATTCTGTCCACTCCTTCTTAATGGACAGGTTCCACTCCCAGGTGAGGTGGTCGTGCTTGTCATCATCGGTGAAGAAGGACTTATTGTGGTAGGTGCCTCGGGCTAGCATGCCTTTGGGAGCTTCCTCAATTGGAGTCAGGAACTCATACTCTTCTGGCCGAGGCCCGTAGCTGCCAACCATAAATGTGGCTTTATCCACTGGGAAGAAAGAAAAGTTCATTAGGGAAAGAGTCTGATAGAGAAAAACAAACACTGTGGCCTGGAGAACTTGGAGCACAGCTTAGAGTGATCAAAGCCAAAAGCAATGTTTCCCAAGCTTGGCTAAAATCAGATTTACCTGGGGCACCGTTTTTTTTCCCTTAAAAAATTTTTATTTTTTATTTATTTTTTACAAATTTGAACACCTTTTAATACTAGTTTTCTTTGAACCAAAGACAATGGTTCAGTAACCTGCTGTGGATCCCAAGAATCCGTGTTTTCAAAAAGTAACATAGCTGATTCTGAGTATCAGAAAAATTGCAGAGCCCTGGCCAGTTTAGCTCAGTGGTTAGAGTGCTGACCTGCGGTCCAGAGAGACCCGGGTTCGGTTCCCACTAGGGGCACGTATCTCGGTTGCAGTTTGTCCCCGGCCCTGGTTGGGTTGTGCGGGTGGCAGCCACTCGATGTGTCCCCTTCACGTTGATGTTTCTCTCTCTCTCTCCCTCCCACTCTATCTGAACAAAAATTGAGGAAATGTCCTTGGGTGAGGATGCAAAAGAAAAATTGTAGAATCAGTGCCTTAAATCAATGGAGATGAAGAATGTTTTTATGAAGATGAAGCAGATTATACCATAAGAAAATCCCAGGCGGTCAAAAGGTATACAATTCTACTTATAAGGTAAATCAGTCCTGAAAATGTAATGTACAACATGGTGACTATAGTTAATAATATCATATTTGAAAGTTGATAAGAGAGTAGATCTTAAAAGATCTCATTACAAGAAAAATATTTATAACTTTGTGTGCTGGTGGATGTTCAATAAACTTATCATAGTAATCATTTTATAATATATATCTATATCTATATCTATATCTATTTATCTATCACCTATCGCTAGACAGATATCTCAAATCTTTATGTTGTGCACCTAAAACTAATACAATGTTAAATGTCAATTATATCTCAACCAAAAAAAAAAAAAAAATCATACTAGTTGAGACCTGGGTTCTTTCCTCAGTTCTGTAACTACCTAAGTCATATGACATTTTTTGGGCCTCCATTTCTTTTTTATATAATGAACTTCAAGGGTCTTTTATCTGAAGACTACCATTCGATAAACATATCAGTTGAAGCAGATAAGATAACAGCTGGTAATCAGAATGAACAGAATTCATGGGTGGAATAATTTGAAGGAAAGGGAAAAATCAATAATTTGGTTAAAAAAAAGCAAGAATTGGGACAAATGGTGAAAATAGCCAACCAATATTATTGATAAGTGACTGGAATGTGTATGAAGACTAATAGGGGATTTGAAAGTATAAATACAGGCAGGTAGGTGGGCAGGCAGGCTACGTGCAGTCAGCTGGTAAGTGTTGTGAACACGTCTGCAGGAGCAGCTACAGAAACGCCAGAGCCCAGTCCCCTAAGTGAGGCGACACAGTCATTAAGCCCCAAGGAAATAAGGAACTGAACTGTTCTTTTCATAAGACTAAATATTGGAAAGACTAATTAAGATCTTCTAGGCCAACAGTCTTCTGTAGGATCTGAGTAAATGAGTGGTTGTCTATGTTATGCAAATTTATCAGACACTTTAATTTCCCCCTCTCCCTTGTTGATTGATTTGGTGGCGCTGGGGCATCAACGTTCCACACCTCTGTGGGAAGAGAGCCCCTCAGGTAAAAAAGAACTGTCAGCTCCTATCAGCTCCCATTGGCTTTCACTTCTCCATGCCCATAGGAAAAGAAGAGAACAGAAGACAGGTTCCCAGGGTGTGTCCAGTTTAGGTAGCTTGTCAAGAATGACTGCAGAATACTTTCAACAATAAAATAAACAGACAAACAAATAAATAAAATGTAAGCTCTCTTCCAAAAAAAATATATATATATATAAAAATAAAAAAGAAAGAACGAACTACTGCAGATTAAGTCACGTTATATTATTTGTTTTAATTAGATAGCTTTTCTCAATTCCAGAATTTTTTCTCTTTCTTTGTTTAGGAAATTAAGCCCTCCCCCCACCCCCATTCCTATTAAACACACAGGCCAGTGAATAGGTCTTGGTCTTTCCTGTTTTGGATTTCTCTGACATCTGGGTTTTATATCTGTGAACTGACTTCTTTTCTTTTACTTTTTTTTTTTTTTTTATCCCCCCCCTAGGACATTTTTTCTATTTTTCGTTCAGATAGAGTGTGGGAGGGAGAGAGAGAGAGAGAGAAACATCGATGTGAAAGGGACACGTCGAGTGGCTGCCACCCACACGACCCAACCAGGGCCGGAGACAAACTGCAACCGAGGTACGTGCTCTTAGTGGGAACCGAACCCAGGTCTCTCCGGACCACAGGCGGACGCTCTAACCGCTGAGCCAAACCGGCCAGGGCTCAGATTCTTAAATGAGTCTATGTCTAAAACTTGCTAACAACCAGAAGTTTTAGTGTCAGTGAGAAGCAAATTTTGAAACAGTGTACAGTGTAGGTCCCTTACCTTTCACCCCAGTCCGGTAGGTGTGCTGAACATACTTCAGGCCCGACACAATATCTCTGTTCACCTGTAGGCGGGAAGGATCCAAGCAATTCAGATTAATGAGGCTCTTTAATTTTTCCTCATTATTCATTTGGATCCTACCTAGCTGGGTCTTCTCTGAGGATAAGAAGACTGAAGACTTAGTTTAGACTAAGTGTTACTATTGTCATTCAGTGTGGTGGTGTGGCAGAGGTTGGAGAGAGTTCGCCAAACTCAATGTTGCCAATCTGGTACTAATCATTGAACACTGTGATTTTTCGGTTTGCAGGAGTGGGCAGTGGTAGTTAATTAAAATATTGTCACAATAGTCTTTATTGCATTTCTCCTTCCACAATGGTCCAAAGAATGGTCTTGAGCTCCCCCTCCCTGTTACTACTGGCCAGAAGACCTTTCTTGTCTTAGGAAAGGTTACAAAGCTACCAATGGAAAATATTATGTAAATATCTGAAAATCCCAACCTGAGACATGATCCACCTAGCATATGAAAAACAAACAAACAGCAAGGAGAAAACCGTAATGGAAAATCAGGTCTAGAGGATGGTTGTGCCTGAGATGTAGGTATGACCGGAGGCCTAGAGTTGAGGAGAGGGGCCACATGGAAACCTCCTCCCTATGGGCAAATAGTGGGTAAAAGGCACTTGTGTCTGGCAAGTAGTTTGGATGTCTGTCATTTTCAGACGTTGTCTGAGGTCATGATACTTCCCTGAGCCTTTCAAAGAAAATTCACTGAAGCAGAATGAAAATATAAACAGTCCAAGGACTTCGTTTTTCCATTAGTCATTTTACCTAGGACTGAACTGGGTTGTCCGTTAATTTTATATGGTGATCATGTTTATACAGACAAAGCGGTCATTGTGTCATGAGCTGGAAGGCTTGGTTAACTGTTCATCGATATGAAGAACGTAAGCATCTTCAAATAATTTCTGCCCAACAATAACCACGTCTCCCTTTTTGTTTCGAATACTTAAAGCAACCTGTCAGTGCTCTCTGGTGGGTAATGAGGTAACATGGCAGTGCATGCTGCCCACTTAGGTTCTAGCCTTCACTCAGTTTTGTAGTATAAAACTATCAAAAGCAGACAAAATGAAAACACTCCGAAAAAATTGTGGTAAAACAAACCCCAACCTTTCTAATTATTGTGACACCCACACACAACTCATAGGAGTAGGGAAAATGCATGGATCTTTCTAGAAGCCTCTAAGCTGGTCCCTTGGGCCTAGTAGGAGATGCTGTCTGGTGGGAATAAGACTTAAAACAGGAATGATGGAGGTGTGAGAATAAGGATTTCAAAACAAAGAGTTTCCTGTTTCTACCGCTCCATGGAATGTCCATTTAACAGAGACATGGAAGTAAGGAACAGACTGACAAACCTCACAGGCAAGAGGGGTGGGGAGTGGGGGGTTGGGAAGAGATAAACCAAAGAACTTATATGCATATATGCACCACCAGTCGACACAGACAATAGTTTGGAGAAAGAAGGAGGGGGGTGGGAGCAGGGAGGAGGGGGTCAATGGAGGAAAAGGGGGGGACATCTGTAATACTTTCAATAATAATAAAAAAGAATGTCCATTTAATATCAACATATTTGAGATGGATAAAAGAAAAGTGTGACTATTCCTAGTATTCTCTTCTTTTGCCTAAACGCCCTCCCACATTGTCTCTCCCACAACAAGAGGCAGAAGCCTCGGTGATACAGTGAAAATGAGAGCGGTGGAAGTCAGAGGTACAACATTCCTTTGGGAGACAGAAGAAAGAAAACCAGAAACTGAAAGAACCATCCCAGGCCACATTTTTGAAGAACACTGAAGTTTTGGGGAAGAAAGAGAACACCAAGAACAACGAAGAGACAAAGAAAGGGAGTTTTAGGGTGTGTTGCTGGTGTGATACATGCAAACTTCTTGGACTTTCTTCAAGAGACGTCAATATAAAGCTAAAATTGCTTTTCAATTATTTTTCATTTTGCACTGTTCCTTCTAACTGTAGCTTCATGCGGGGACAGACCACAGGGCAGTTCAACGTCACTGGGGTTGCCCACAGAGTGATTTTTCTTCTTTTAGAGACAAGGCCAAACCTCTGAAGTGGATGGAGCTTGAAAACTTTCTGTGCCCTCCTCCTCCATCATCTTAATGTGTGACCCTGACGGCTGAGGCCCCACGCAATGACCCCTCCTCAGCCTCCCACGCAGGGCGGACGCACACACGCCACACCATTCCTTCTCCTCTTGCTCACATCAAAGTTTACTGTCATGTTTCATTTGATTTGATAAAAACCGGCTTACTAAATTGACAAATTAAGGCAGTAATATTAATGATTAAAAATCAGACTGCTGTGTAACCTATTTTAGGTATATTTGGGCACACTGCCTTACCAGACTCTCAGGTGCTTCAGTAATAAATAGTACTACAGGAAACAAGGAAGTGAACCATAGCTCAGTGCCTATTATAGAGTCGGCATCAGCAAATATTTTCAGAATGAAATTATTTTGAGGAGTATTTGTATGTGGTGGAGAGCAATTGTTCATAGACCCTGAGTCACACCCTGCTCCTAGGGCACCAAAAGGCCTGGTGCAAATGAAGAGGGCAGTGGGGTCATCCTTGGTGGAGCCCGGGCCTTGGAGGGTATGACTGAGTGGGAATGAGGGCAACCAAAGCAAATATAAACAATTTAGAGCAAACAATACATTTCTGATTTATTTGTCATTCTGACTTATTTGTTTTCAAAGTCAAGGTTATTTTTGTCCTTGATTTTGGCTGCTCCCTGGGCCATGTGCCTGTTTATTATATGTCGGTTTATCTCCTGTTTAGTTTTGTGCTTACTTAGTCACCTGCTCCACAACTACATTGTAAGTTCCAGTTCTTTACATATAATTAGTGAGCTTTATATAATTATTGAGCAATTAGAGCTGGGGCTCTATCTGTTCTATTTCTTTTTTCTATTAATTGATTCATTCATCTATTCCCTCCATAAATGTTCACTGAAGATCTACCATTTACAAAGTTTTGTGTGAATTACTGGAAAGAAGAGACATAAAATCTCTCCCTGTCTCTAGGTGCTCAGGCCGTATAGGGGAGAAATGACATAAATGGTACAATACAAAGCAGCCTGTGCCTCGTGGATGAGAGTATTAGGAGTTTACCGAGAGGAATCCCACCGGCTTAAGTGATCAGTGGAGGAGGTCCTGGCTGGGGAAAGGCCGGAGGCAAGGGTATGTCACAATGGGCAGAGCCTAGAGTTGGGGAGAGGGCAGTCCATCTCCAGGGGGAAAATAAGAAAAAAACAAAAAATATGCCAACATAATAATGCAAGAAATTTGTTTTTTTTCCCCCTTCCTTTGATTATAGGAAGAATATTGGCTTTATAAAACATATAGGGCAAAATACTTACTTTGAAGTGAATTTTCACTCTGTACTCAACACCTTCCTTTAGCACAAAAGTTTCTTTTTTGAGGGCTTCGAGATCCCCTGTGGAAGTGGATTGAGAAAGAATTTATTCTCCTCAGATGAATGAAGTTTAAGCTCCAAAGCCCTTTGCTGGGCCTTCACCTCTGAGCATGTTTGAGATTAGTGGCTGCACAAAGACATACCTGGAATGCCTGAGATCTTATAGCTAGGTATAAGAGAAATGTGACGTAGTTTGACAACACCCTTAAGAATATACAAAGCATTACCAGTAATGAGTTATGTACAAAAATGTCTTTTCTAATTGTCAATAATAAAAACAAGTTTTAATCACCCTCTTAGAGGACAGAACTATCTTTCTATTCTCTCTATTGAACACGACATCACATATATATGACCAAACAAAAAGATGATTAAAGAGTTAAAGAATATACCCCCTACAACTCAAATAAAGAAATATAGGAAAAATACTACATGAGAGTACCAGCTACGTATATTTTTAGATTTGGTCATGTTTGTGGCATTTTCCAGCCTTTAAAAATGTACTTGTTTTTATTCTTTTTTATCATTCTAAATAAAATTTTATTCTTGTACTTAATTTTGCATTTGCATTTGCAATTTCATATTATTTCTCTTAAGCAAAGTCACTTAAATTATAAAAGCTTCAAGTTCCATAAAACTGGGATCTGCCCTTATTTCCTGTACTCTGGTTAGAGAGAGAATCATTCTCCATTCTTCTCCCCATGTGAGCCTGGGTAGTGTGACATTCAGGAGTGAGTGCGTGTGTGCCTGGCACAGCTCTGTGCCCACACTTCATGCACAAGGCTGCTACCAGCTCGCTATATATATCTGGGACTCACGTCAGTAGCTTCTTTGTGATAGAAAACCAAATTTGGGTTTCCTGGTGCTGGGAAAAGAGACAGAGACCAAGTTTTCCCTGCAACAGGATCCAGCAAGGCCTTCTAACAAGAACAAGTTTCCTTAGCACTCATTCGGACCTTATCTTACAAAATGACAGTTGTGCCTGCTCACATTACACAATTTCACACAGGAAGAGGCCCGAGTCCCGTTGAGAGAGAAAGAGCACATCTCTCCTAGAGAGATGCTAGACCGTGGGGGTAGTTGCATTCGTGTGTCTGCTCGAATGATTTCCGTTGAAGAGGAAGTATCTTCTCAGCCTCTGATTTCCTCCCTCTGACAAAAAGCCCATATAAGGTCAAGAGTGGGTATGTTCTGTGAGCGGGGAACTACCTTGCTGCTGAGCCTACCGTTCCAGAGTCATGCTTTGCTCTGTCTCAAGGGTTCACTCTTTAAATCTGGTAATACTTTTATTTTCACTAAAAACCTGCCTTTAATCGTCCAACCCCTTAGCTCTGTGGCCCTTTCCTGATTTCTCTCAAATGCCCATTTCCCCCAGAATAGCCGCCTCCCCAGCCTCTCCTTCTCTGCTCAAGACCTAAGTCTCAGGAAAAGACTTGACCCTGGTTAGAGTAAAGTGAAAGAAAAGTGCATCTTAATTTGTACATTTTTTTGAGGGGCTGGGAGTTGTTTATTTAAAAGAACAGATCTTTAAGTTAAAATAGTATGTATTTAACAGTGGAATTCCTAGAATTCATGAGGTCTTAAATTGCTTCTTGCCTTCAGGTGAGTTAGAGCTGATATAAGATCAATACTGTCTCTGATGTTTAGATTGTGTAAATGTTACAATTCCAGAAGCATACGGTGTGCTTCTCAACATTTCCATCTTTTTTTTTTTTTTTTTTACATGCATAGTAATTCTGCTGTCATGTTCAGATAAAAAATCTGAAGTAAATCTGATACCAGGTAAATCTATCCAGTACCTATGCCTGCACTCTCTTCAATAAGAGACAGAGGTTGGGCTGTCATTAAGCATGGTCAGTACTGTGTCCCCGAGGGCAGTGACTTGTGAACTCGTCCCAGCACATATGTATCTCAGGGACTCATCTTACCAGATTTCCTTTTACTGGGATAGAGACAAAGAGCAAGTTTCTCCAGTGATATCATCAGCTCCCTTTGGACAGAACAGATGTGTCCACTTACCAGTGAGGTCCATGGTGATTGGTCCTGGAGCACTCTCACAAACCAGGGTAAGGCGGGTGACCGTGACATTAGGGGCTGTTGGGTCTGCAGGATTCAAAACAAAATGTAAGCACAGGGAAGAGACACACATATACTCTGTGTTTGTGTGTGTGTGTGCGCACACGTGTGTGTGTATGCATTTCAAGTAGGAGAGAGAGAATATAAAAAGAAAGATGATATCTCTCTAGCTGAAGAAGACATAGAAATGGAATGGCAGGTTCACCATGCTTCATCACAAGGCCTTATAAATTACGGTGATGTTATTTTCTGCTTCAGGCACTTGTAGGTCCATCTTAATTATAAAAAGCCAATGTTTCTCTTGTGACTGTGGGTAAGGTACTCTTCTAGTAAGGCACTGCCCAGCCACATCTTTGGGCCATGTCTTAGTCTGCCACAGACTAAGTGATGAATGGTTAGGTAAGGAGTGTGAAGGAGAAAGAGAAGACTTAGAGAAAATGTGAGAGAATGGAGAGAATACAATTCTAAAAGGTAATCTGAAGTTCTTTCTAAATCCTCCCTATGTGTTATTTTCCCTTGTTTCAATGCGGACTTGCACCTTCTCTCCAAAGAAGACTTAATTATACAGTCCGTCACTTTCTTCAGTACATATAGATTGTGATTCACTCATTGAACCCTGGAAGCACTTGGTACCCTTTCCTTTGTTCTGCTGCTGAGTAGCTGAAATGTATACCTTATGTGGGACTCTGCACCTGACCCCCAGCCCCAGACACACACACCTGCTACCACAGGACCATCCCCCAGGAGCGTTTTCTTGTACTTAGTTAGACTTTCATCATCTTTGTCCATCTCCTGCAGCTCTTTTAGGGACTTCTGAGGTGGAGGCTTATAATTGAGCTTCCCGTCCAGCTCATCATCCTCCTCCTCCAGGTGTGGTTCTGGGGCCTTTTCAGTCATTTTGATCTATTTCAGAGAGAGAGAGGATGATAGTCCATTAGCCGAAAGTCAGTGGGTCTAAATAACATCAGTGGAGAGCTATTGGTGTTATCTTTGCCATAAAGTCCATAGTTGTTAGTGATTTTCCAGGAAATATCCCCCTAATTTCACCTCATTATATTTCTTGAAATAAGAATATAATGCATTCTAATCTTTTCTCTGCCATGCCTGACTTTTTTTTTTTTTGTACTGTGAGAGTATCTCCTATTCATTGCATAAAACTGACAGAAGTTCATTTGTGAATTATATGCTACAATGAAGCAGCACAGCACAAGCAGGCCTAAATAATGAGGAAATAGCCCCCATTTAAATAGTTATAGAGATCATCCCTGTTCTCCAAATCCAGCCAGCCTTGCTAGTATCAAAGCTCTCAGCATGTACAATCCCAGATAGGATGGTTTCAAGAGACAGGTAGAGTGCTTACCAAAGAAAATTGGCTTATTCCCATTAATTGAATCTTTCCTTGAACTCCTGCAATACCTCAAAGGTAACTGATGAGAAGTTGTAGGCCCCCATGATAGCTGCCTGAGGTGTCTGAGTGGTTTCCACTCAACACAGCTAATCATTCCTGAGGGCAGGTATTAGGTTCTGTGTTTCTCTTGACTGTCCTATAACACTTGACTACTTCAGGCATTTTATAAACATTCATTGATTGATTTACTAGGTTCTATATCTAAAGATCTTCTGTTCTTCTGAAATGACACAAAATTATACAAAGGACTCTAAATTTTTCTAGACAAAATTGCAACTCTGACTTTTATACCCCTCCAAGTGATCCCTGTTTTCCAGAACCACTTCCCTTTTAATACTTTCCACTCCTCCCAGGATTTTCAGTGACCTTATGAGCATACACTGGAGTCTGTCTTATTCCATCATCATCTACATGTACTTGTTTTGTGTTTTAAAACACTGAGGGGAGATCTAATACAAGTATTTACACTTAGGTGTTAATGACTGAATAATAGTTTTAACATTTATCCCTCTTAAGGCATGTATAGTTTATAAAGTTCCCTGAGAGTGAAGTTATCTCTGGCCAAAATCAGTTGTGGTTTTGAGTTTGAAGTCACTATCATTGGCAACAAGAAGAAAAATAACTTGGAAATAAAGTCAAATAAAGTAATTTTAACAGAGAAAAAGGAAGGCAAGAAAATGGTATCTCTTGGCTCATTGATTCTCTTCCAGCAACATAACAGGTGAAACACGACGAGCCTTGATCAACTCTGAAAACAGCATTGCAATGCCCAGATCCACTTCCTGTACAGGAAGGAAATATGTAGGCCTGTTCCTATGGCAACTCTTGCCTCAGCTGAAGAACCAGCACCACTCAAAGCTGAGCTTCTAAAGAACAGCACAATAAACATAATGATTAACTCAGCTCATACTCCAAAAAACAGTCAGGGAAAGTGAATGGACAGATTGGAAAAACAATGGAGGATGCCATGGATGGAGGTTGTAGGCTGTGGGTAGTTTAAGGACAATCATTAAGGGGTAGATGAAGAGCAACCCAGAAGAGACCAATCAGATGAGACAGGTTCTCCTCTGCTGGCACATAGTAGCCTGGCCAGATCCCCAGGGTGGAGGTCACATAACAAATTTGTGAATGGAGCATCAGGAAGACTATCTACACATGAGGGCATCTCAATCCCCCACAGACAGGCCTTTCTGGGATATATTGCTTGGTTCTAACAAGTCATCTGCTTGAAGTCTTGACTATTAGTCTTCACACCCAGACACTAACTAGCTCAGAATGATTTCAAAAACTGGCAGGGAATTGTAATCCTGTACCCTCGAACATCAATTTTGAAAGGCAAATAAGAGAGAGAGAGATTTAGAGAGATAGAGAGATGAAGACTGAGAAAGACTAATTAAGATCTTCTAGGCCAACAGTCTTCTATAGGATCTTAGTAACTGAGTGGTTCTCTATGTTATGCAAATTTATCAGACACTTTAATTTCCCTCCTCTTCAAAGTGGAGAAGGGGATGGAGGATGAGCAATCTAATCATACTAAAAAAGTCCAGCTGGTGTGATCGACTTTTGGAGATTTAAACATACATTAAAAGTCATGGTCCCTTATAAAAGGAAAAAAAGAATAAACCCATGAAATTGTTCATGCAATTCAAGAGTTCACGGACCCCTGAAACTTCATAGACTTGACTGGAGGCCAAGATTAGGAACATGACCTTGAAACTGTAACTTTTGGAAATAGGAAACAAATTGTTGAGGAAACATCCTTGTCTCTGAGGCCTGGCTGGATCAACGACACAACTTAGCTGCAAGCTAAGGATCAAGCTGATGACCCTAAAATGTGGAGCGTATGGAAGCAGGAGGGGGTAGCAGGATATTTGCATCTGAGGGAACAGGACCACAAGGCCTGGCAGAGGAGCTGCGGTGCCCAGGGACAGGTCTCGAGGAGACCTGGTCCATCTACTTGATTTTGGATTATTATCTACTCACTGGATTAGGCCTTATCATGCATGCTTTTCAGTTCTGCTGCCACGGAGCAAATGTTTCAACCAGGATTGGTCTTTCCTTCCTCCTCCTGGGAGGCGAGGAGGGAGAGCAGACCATCTCCAGGGGCTGTCCTTTTCTAAGGCCTCTACCTGAATGCTGCTCCTGACCTCCAGCGAAGTTGGCATTCAGTTACCTTATTTCTGTTACTGTGTGTACAGGAGACTGTATCTCTGTTTAACTATTTCAAATTTATGTGACTTCCCCAAAGATGCTATATTTTAAATTTTACAATTTATTTCTGGGGAATCGCAGATTCTTCCAAAGCCCCAGCCATAAATGGTTTATATAGTTTGACAATGATTTCCCAAACTATGTATTTGTGTATATTTAGCCACAAATGTCAGTTTTCTTTTGGGTGCTTGCCAAAGTAAAATTCGAAATTTTATGGAAATTCTATAGACCATTTTCTAATCTCATCATCTAAAGAATAACTGGATTTATTATCGATGATAATTATAATAACTATAATATGGTGCTAAATGCTTTTGTGAGGATTACCTCACTTAGGCCTCACTGCAGACCAGAAACTCTTCTACAGATTCAGGTAAATAACTAGCCCAGGCAGGCATTTTTTTGTAATGGGCAGAGAGCAGGTTGTCTGACGTTTAGCTACTACGTTGTGCTATTTCAGTTATATTTATTAAGAAGTACAATACAATTATGAAGCATGTTAGTCATTTTGGGAATCCATCCAGGGTGCACAGGCAGAGGTAAATATTTCTCTGCAGCATTCTGCAAAAATGTCTGCAGCAAAGCAGGGAGTGTCACATACGGTGCAACTCTGCCCCGTGTCACCTTGTGCAAGCCTCTGAACCTCTCTGAGCTCCAGGTTCATCCTCTGCAAAATGAAATCCTCGCATTAGAAGGTCTCCGAGGCTCCTTCTTAATCCAATGATGCTAATGCTCCCTAATGTAAAGAAGTCTGTGAAATGAGAAAAAAGGAAGTGGGACTGGGAAGGGGGTGGTCAGGAAGCACCCGTCCATCAGGACAGAACGTCTGGTTGGGCTTTTCTGACCTTCCCGGTCGCCCACCCTCTCACAAAGAGCAGCGTTGTTTTGTTTGTTTGTTTGGTGGCCTGTTGTTTTTGACTTTGGTTCTTTACACAGGAAAAACGAAGTGGAGCATTAACAATTATATACGTAATGAGGCTAATGGGGCCTGACTGTGTCAGGTCCCAGAGCCATTATGGCTTTTTTTCACGTGCTTACTGCTCCAGTTTCCTCTTTTTTCTACCTTCCAAGGCCTACACACTGATGAATTTTCATAGCGGAACCTTCACACCCCAATGCCTGCTGTTCTGTGAAACAATGACAAGGATTAGATGTGCTGAGGTGGAGACCTGATCTTCTGCGGCTCGACGAAAATGTCAAATTACATTAAGGTGGTTACTGCTGGCATGAGTATGACACAGCACAAATCCATGTTCTCACTTGCATAGTCAGTGGCATGTCCAAGGCACTGAAAGGGAAATACACTTATGGATCCGCACTGATCTCAGGGTAGAGCACACCCTCTGGCTCATTAATGCAGCCCGGATAGGTGGAGGCAAGAAAAGGTGAAATTCTTGAGTTTAGATAAAACAAATCACCTGGTAAATTCCAAGAAAGGTGACTTTCATGTCTACTGGAGCATGGACTTTGAATCTGAGGTGTCAGGGATTTATTGTGGTTTGCTCTTGATGTATTACAGGACTTAAGCAAGTTATTAACTTCACTGAGCCCAAGTTTTACCATCAGTAAAGTGGGAGTAATAATCTCTCTTTCTTTCTTTTTTTTCTTTATTGATTCTAGAGAGAGAGGAAGGGAGAGAGATAGAGATAGAGAGGGGAACATTGATTGGCCACTTCCTGCCAACCCCACACTGGGGACTGGGCCCACAACCTGGGCATGTGCCCTGACCGGAATTGAACCGACGACCTCTTGGTGCGTGGGTCGATGCTCAACCAGCTGAGCCACACCGGCCAGGCAAATAATCTTTCTTTCAGGGGTTGAAGAGTTGGAAAAACTTAGGAAAAATTCTAGGACGATACTGACCAATAGCAGGTGTTCAATAGCTCCGAGCCCTTCCTCTCCCCTGCGCTGCAATGCTTTGTCGCACAGCCTCAGAGAAGCGAGGTGACTGACTGCCCACCCCAAGTGCTTTCCCTTCCATCTGCGTGTTGACAACGTCCAATCCCTCCTTAAAAATAGAGTTTGTTTCTTTGAGGAGTACGGAAGAGACAAGAAGTCCTGGGAATTGCACAGATTGTTTATTAACGGAACAACCTTAAAATGGGACTGTCACTATTTTATTTCTGTAAAATCTTCCACAAGAACAATTTAATTTTAGATTCTATGTACTGCTCCCTATCATAATGGAAGCCAGAGGTCACTCTGTGAATGATGAGAAAGGCAGAGCTAATGGAGAGAATTCCCTCGGACTCTAGAGCAAATCCTGTGGAGACTTGACTCATGTCCCCAGTTCCCAGATCATGCATCTGAAAGCACAGGCCACGGATGGGCGTTAGGTGGAAGAGGAGGAGCTAAGGGAGGGACTGAGAGGTGTGGAAGCACCAGGAGGGGATTTCCAGCAGAGGAGCACCTGTGGAAGTGAGCATCAGCACTGCCTGTCCCTCCACCCCCGCTGACCTGATTCAGTCCTGCCCTGTACGTGTCTGAGGCTGAGCTCCAGAGCTGGTCATGGAGATCGGCCCATCTCTGAGGGACTGCCGACATTTCAGAGCTAGTCCAGGCTTTGGGTCTGCTTGGCTGCCTGCTTGGTGATTTGGCTTATTTGGGGCATACCAGAGCTGTCTGGGTTTTGGGGTCCTCCCTGGTGTCTCAGGACTCCCTAGTGACACGGAGGAATTGGTGCTCAGGCCTGCTCTCTACCTCTTCCGCTCCATGAAGAATGTTTGAAACTGCCAAGATGGACGAAAAGAACCAACCCAGTGCCTGAGGGCCCAGGGCCTGGTTAGATACACTGAACATTATAATAAATATAAATCCTGAGGAGGGTCCGAATGGCTGGAAGCAGAGTTCTTTAACATTCCCTTTGGCAGCAGAAACAATACATGATTTCTTGCCTGTGCATTCATAGTGGTGTACCCTTCCGACCCAGAGCCATATGCAAAAGGAGGGAGAACTCAGCTCTCCCCAAACTTTCCTCAGGGTCTGCCGTGTGAAGTCACTGTGCTAGGCATTTTCACAAATATTTATTTTAAGCAATCCTTAAAGAAAACTGCATCAAGGAAGTCGTTATTAGACAAAAGACTATACTGCAGTAATGCAATACATTTACAGTTTTAAACAAAACATGAAAAATTAGACAAAAGTAAATATTTTTTTTTTCTGACTGCTTGTGGTTCAAATGTCAGTCGCTTTAAGAAAACTCAAGTAATTTCTATCAGCTCTGGCTGTAGAAACCAGTGTAACACAGCACAGAGCAATTGAGTGCTTATTGAATGAATGCATGTTGAAATTTCGATAGCAACATGAGACCCATCTCTGGATTTGCCAGTGTGGACTCTAATCTAGAATCCTGGGAGGTGATACCACTGACCCAGGAATAGGATGCTCAGAATAGGGGATTAAAGAAAATTTCTCCTGCCTGGTCAGTGTGGCTCAGGGGTTGAGCATTGACCCATAAACCAAGAGGTCGCTGGTTCGATTCCCGGTCAGGGCACATGCCCAGGTTGTGGGCTAAATCCCAGGTGGGGGGCATGCAGGAGGCAGCCAATCAATGTTCTCTCTCATCGATGTTTCTCTCTCTAAAAAAAAAATCAATAAAGAAAAAAATAGTTCTCTCATGGGACATTTCCTAAAACGTCTTTCTGAGGCACTGTAGCTGCCCCCCCCTACCCCCCCCCAGTATATGACTAGTACAATCACTCAACACTTCTGAGGCTTACTGTCCTCCCTGTGTCCTCTCAGGATTCAAATTTAAAAGTCCCTAACGCCAGGCCCGACACATCGAAGGTGCTCACTTTCGTTGACTCTCTTTCTCATTAGGCCTATTTTTTTCTCCCCAGGGCTGCTCTCTTCCTGTGACCTAAAGTTTGTAATTTATTGTGCTCCCACAAACTGGCCCAGGCCCTCTTTTTTCTGCCACATTGCCTTTGCCCATCTGAGCTTCCAATGAAAACAGAACCTTGATGTTGCTGGGGAGCATCCTTCCCTAGGGACAAACTCATGCTCTCCCAAACAAGCAAGAACCAAATGTCAGTGCCTGGAAGACACCAGCTGGGTTTGGTTTGGCTGTGACACGGTCCCTCCCCATGTGCTGGGTCCATGTAGCATAGATGGAGACCGAATTTCACACACCTCACAGAAGGGTGAGATGATCTTATTACTCTGCTGGTATCACATCTGGACCGGGAGAGATGTTTTCTTGTCAATGTAACAAAACGTAGCACTGGCAAACCTGTCCGTGACTGAGTTCTCCAGCCAAAACACTCCTCTTGATTTCCCTTGCTTGCTCATGCCTGCAGTGAGGATCCGACATGCCAATCCTTATTGCAGTGGCTCTTGGTCTCTGTGTGACGGGGTGACTACAGGAACTCCATGTGAGAGCAGTCTGCCTTCCCCCACCTTGGACAGGACACCAGCTCAGGGTTTATCAGACCCATCGCACAGGTTCCCTGACATCTAGAGTTTAATCACAGGCTATGTATATAAAACATGCTGACTGGGACATCCTTGAAAAAGGAAGAAAATATTTGAGGTCATACCTAAAGCACTTCTAATGGCGGCCAAACTCAGACCTTGACAATTTGAATGCCCTTGGACCAGGTGCCCTTGCTGGATCCACTTGGATTTTTCTAGAATCTATCTCTCAGTAAAGTATTCAATGTCTTCCATGTTTGCTTCTCGTTCTCTCAGATGTAAAGAACGATTTTTTTTTTTTTTTTTGCAGCAACGGCAATGATCTTCCTGCCCATCTTATTGCAGGAATTGAACACGAGGGTTCTGTTAGTGGTAGAAAGTCTATCCCTGCATATCTGATGAGTAAATAACAACGCATTCTGTCTACCGTGCTTCCCCTTGGTAGTTAAATCGCATTGTCCTCTACGGGAAGCTTTCACTCTGCATTTCTCTCGTATCACCAGAAAATTCTTTAGTGGAAGACAGTTTAATGTTTGACAGCTTTGAACCATTTTGTTTCCTTTTCAACCAGTCTCTTTAAGTCTACTTAAAAACAGGAAACCACACATCTCCACCCCATCACCACCCCACCATCCTCCAATACGGTCCGTATCAATTTGGATCTACATTCTTTCTGCTTCTGAACCTGGCCAGCTGCCGGCTCCTACCTGGTAGGAAACCCCTCCGGACACTGCCCCATGGTTGTGCTCATTGCCCTTCTCCAGCACATTCGGGATTTCATCTCCTGGGCTGCATGCACACTCTCCTCCCTCCCCGAGCTGCCTCCCTGAGTCATTGCTACCATTCCTGCTCCGACTTCCCCTTCTCTGCAGAACTGTTCCAGAAGCCTTCTCAGTACTTTCTTATCAAGTTTGTTTTAAAGAGGAACTGTCCCTCTAAAAAGATAATAAACTGTAAAGTCCTGTAGCCTACTTTAAAGATTTTCTGTATTTCTCTGTGCCCACCTGGAGCCTCCCCACCCCAGGATATTTCAACTTACATTCAGTGGTTCCCGTCTCTGTCCCTCTGTCCGGGGTGCCTCTGTCTCTCAACTCTGACTTCTGAGCACTGGCAGTTAGAACAGGAAGGAAGTTACTGAGAAAAAAAAATTTTTTTTTTAAACCTACTAGAAGAGGAAACCCTGGGCTGTCTCAAATCCTATTCTGCACGGCATATCTCTTGATCAGCTAACCCTGAGCAGCATTCTTGTCAATTAATGGCACATGTGGGAGCATGACTGACCATGTGAACATGGATATGCATGAATGTTCATGCAAGGGTGTGGAGCCTGCAGCCACGAGGGCTATGAATAATTGTGCGATAAGTCTACAAATCAAGTCATCTCAGTGCACAGCTCACGGAGGCTCCCCGCCTAAAACCAGCAGCAATCAATTCCTACAGGCTTTACTTTGTATCACTAACTTCTGTTCCTGCAGAGTCTGCCAGCTCCTTTATCAGCCAGATATGTTGCAAGTTCGCTGGCAGAGACTGCAGGGTGCTAAGAAACTACGAATGTTAACTGCATATACTTAGCCCTCAATTTTAAAATTTGTCCTCAAATAGATTTTTAGAGTTTTGTCGGTCATAGTTGCAAGATGTAGCTTTGTATTGCAGTACAACCAAATGTTACTTGTCCTAGTTTCTACTAATTTTCTTTTAAATAAAACAAGCCAAAATCCCGCTTTTTATTATTACAAAGGAAAGTAAAGCTTCATTAATTCAGACTTTTCTAACTCAGAATTTGTGAGAACTTAACAAGCACTAACACGGGCTTTGTACCATATCTGGGGAAATGGTGTGTGAAGTGATTGAAATGAGAAGAAGTCGCAGAGGCCTTATTTAACCCACTTGAAGGGACAAACGAGGTGTTAAGTATCCAAACCCCATTTACTCTACACATTTCCAAAGCCGTTTCCATTAATAAATTCTTATTCATCGAATATCTCAATATTCTATATTTGTATTATTTCGATATGTTTGAAGCTGACTAGTCAAACGCATATAGTTGGAGAGACAGACATCGATTTTGTTGTCATTTGGATGTCCTACATTTTGTTCATTTCATTTTGTAAATTGATGCCTCCAGATATATTTTATCTTTAGTCAATGGAATGGAAACAATCAAGGATATGATGGTTACTGGGTGGGAGAAAAGAGATTAATCTATGAAAACATAAAAAGGAAAACAGCATACAAGTGCAATTAATAAAAACATTTGAAAACCAAATACAGATGTGGTTATACATTTCAAAATGATATAGGTAGAAGAGGGCCTTTGAACTAAAGTTTCTGACTACTGTATTAGAAATAGAATCAAATATTCATTTACATAGAAGATGGCAAATTTTGTAGCTCAGGACTCTTGAGAGGAGACACGTTTGTTCTTTCAGTCACATGGTTGAGGTCTTCTCGGTACTGTTCTCGGCACCAACGACACGGCAGCAGACAGCAGACACAATCTCTTTGCTTTTGTGACCTTCTGTTCTACGGGAGACAGACAATGAAAAAACATTGGTAAAATAAAATGCTGTGGAACAAGAGAGATTTAAAAATTGGAATGGTAGATCCATCATCCATATGTTATTTTTTTCATGCTATTAGGGGAAATATCTCACAAGTGAAACGGTATTTTTTTCTGCTAAGTCCATTGTTTGCCCACAATTTTTCTGAATGCAATGCCTTTGGCACAAACATTGAAAGATATCGAGGCCCCTAAAAATTGCCTGCAAAATTAGAATGTATGTGGGCAGTGTGTGTGCGGTTTATTGGGGAGGGGGGGGGAGAGGATTCATAACTTTCACTAAATTCTCAAAGGGGCCCACAACCTCAAAAGGATTAAGAATTGGCCCATTTGGAAACTCTTCCTGATATATCAATGGAGTTTCAGTAAATTGGAGGACAACTGCCTTGTTCTCCTAAATTATCTTCCAGCTTCACAGTCAGGACAAGGATCTACCCGAAATCTCCATTTCTCATTTTCTTCTGTTGCGGTTCATTGTTCACATGTATTTGTCAGATGGGAAAACAGAGATTAAGAGGTTCCTTAAAAAACATTAAAATGGCAGACTCTCCTCTTCCAGCCCATACGGACCAAGATGCACTCTGTACGGAGGCTCCCTTACCCATGCCTAAGCTTCTGCAAATGTTAGAACATGCCTGTCATGGTAGTAAGGATGATAGTAAGGACCTTAGCCCTGTAGTACCAAATGAAATCAAAAGAACTTGGAAACTTGCAGAGAAATTTTCAGAAAAACAATAAAACTTTGAGGTATTTTTTTTCTAGCTCTTCTTTGCTGTTATAGGATACAATTGAAAAGTACATTCTAGGCACAGCTTTCATGGGGTGGTATCTGTGCCATGAACCTGAGAAAGTGACACCTGACTGCAGACAGTTGAGACTTCCCCTTTCTGCACGGATATATTTCTTGGCGGCTACAAGTACAGAAAAAAAAACTTTTAGAGAAGACTGTCTGCTTTGCAAGCTGTGCATTCTGAAATGTGTCCTTGAAGGCTGGTGGGAAGAGCTGCAGGTCGGGCGGATATCCTGGCTCTGTCTTTCGCTGTCAGTGGCTTTCCTTTCTGAATCTCAGTTTTCGCATCTGTAAAAGGGGGATGGTATCAACCTTTAGCGTTGCTGGCAGGGTTGGAAATAATGTATGAGAAAGTATCGAACAGAATTCTGACCTCAGAATAAGTGCTCAATAAGTAGTCCAGGCTGAGAAAATGATTGCCACCATCATTATTTCATGATTTTCTCATCACATTTTGGTCCTTATTACTGCAGAGCAGCTATTAGCATGACTAGAAAAGAGTTGTTCTCCAGAAAGCAACAAATGAATGAACAAAACAAGCAAATAAATGAATGAACAAATAAAAAGCCTCATTTACACAGACAATAGTATAGTGGTTCCCAGAGAGGAAGGGGGCTGGGGGACGTTGAAGGGGGTTAAAGGGGGTTAAATATATGGTGATGAAAGGAGATTCAGCTTTGGGTGATGAGCACACAATACAATATACAGATGCTGTGTAATTTTGTACAGTTGAAAACTCATGTTATCATATTAACTAATGTCACCCTAAAAAACTTAATTTTCAAAGACAAAAATACATAAATAACAAATCGAAAAAGCAGAGTTGTTTTCTTCTAAGCACTCACAATCAGCCTGCATGTGTCTCAAAATATTGCTTCCCACTTCTTTGAAGTTTTCCTCCACTGATTCAAAAGAAGGTGTGTTTTTTCCTAAACTCCCAGAGTGTGCATTGTTTATACAACATACTTTAGTAAGCACTGCCTTGTATTATTATCAAGTGATTATTATTAGATTTATGTCTCTGCACAAATATAAAATGCCCGAGGAGAAGGCTGTGTCTCACATACTTCAAATTCCTGGGAATACCTTTACTGAATCGTGCAAGAATTTGAGTGAAATTCTTCAGAAGTGTGTGTGTCTCAGTTAGACAGACATGCCTACATTCTTTCTTCCCCCCCCCCCCCCCTTTCCTCTGGTGATACTGTTGCCTTGGGGAAGAAGTACGGTCATGTGTTTGCAGGGGTTACTGATACCAACTTTACTTTTCATAGATATTACATGTTAAACTACATTATGCTAGATTTCATAGCCTTGGCATAAAAGCTCATTTCTAAATACAAATCCCGTATGGGGTGTGTGATTTGCAAATGTTTTCTTCCACTGTGTAATTTGTCTCTTCATTCTCTTGTCAGAGTTTTTTAGACAGCAAAAGTTTTTAATCTTGATAAAGTCAAATATATTCATTTTTTTCCCCCTGTTACAAATTGTACTTTCACTGGCTAATCTAAGACCTCTTTGCTTAGTTCAAGGCCCTAAAGAGTTTCTCTAAAAGTTTACAGCTTCACACGTTACAAAGAAGTCTGATACATTTTGAGCTAGTTTTTATACAAGGTGTGAGATTTAAGTGTGGAGTTCTAGGAGCATAAGGTGTGAGGTTTAGATGTTCATTCTCTAGCTCCAGTTGCTGAACAGGCTCTCACGTGTCCAGGCGATTTCCTTCACAGCTCGTTCGTGTGGGTCTACACCCAGGTTCTCTATTCTGTTTCCCTGCTTGTGTGTCTAACCCTCTGCCAACACCACACATCTTGACTACTGTAGCTGTACAGTGAACCTTAATATTAGGAAGAGTGATTTGTTCCAATCTTACTTTCTTCTTCTTTTGGCTATTCTACAGTCTCTGCTTTCGTATAAATTTTAGAATCAACTTATCTATGGCTACAGAAAATTTTGCTGAAATTTGTATAGCCAATTGCAATAAAGATAGGCCAATTTAAGGAGAATTGACATCTTTAGTTTGTTGAGTCTTCCAATCAATAAACATGGTATATTTCTCCAATTATTTAGGTCTTCTTTGATTTCTTTAATCACCATTTATCCTTTTTTAAAAAATGTGTTTTTATTGATTTTTTAGAGAGAGAGAAAGGAAGAGAGAGATAGAAACATTGATGTGAGAGAGACCCCCGCCCCCGCCCTGGGGATTGAGCCTGCAACCCAGGCATGTGCCCTGATCGGGAATCAAACCAGGACCTCTCAGTCCTTGGGATGATGCTCAATCCACTGAGCCACACCAGCTGGGCACCATTTGTAGTTTTTAATCATATAAATCCTATAAGTGTTTTGTTAGATTTACACCTAAGTATTTTATTTACTTTAGAGTAATTATAAATGGCACTATTATCATTGTTACATTTTCAAAAGATAAATTATAATTTCTTTACACAATGAGAACAAATGTTTTCCCTTCAAACTTGTCATATCTGGTGACTATTTGCCTGTTTCAATGATATTTTTCTAAAATTGCAGTATAATTGACATGTAACATCATATTAATTTCAGGCATACCACATAATGATTCAATATTTGTATATATTGTGAAATGATCACCACAATAAGTTCTAGTTAACATCTGTCACCATACATACACATTTTTTTTTCTTGTGATGAAAACTTTTAAGATCTACTCTCATAGCAACTGTCAAATATGCAATACTGTACAGTATCATTACAGTCTTTGGTTTTAGTATCAAAAATTTTCATATTGGTAAAACTAGCCTGATGAAATGAGTTAGGAAGTGCTCCCTCCTCTCTATGCTCTCAACGAGAATGTTGTATTTTTTTTTTTATCCTTACCCGAGGACATTTTTCCATTTTTTGTTCAGATAGAGTGGGAGGGATAGAGAGGAAGAGAGAGAGAGAGAAACATCGACATGAAGGGACACATCGAGTGGCTGCCACCCACACCACCAACCAGGGCCGGGGACAAACTGCAACCGAGGTACGTGCCCTTAGCGGGAACCGAACCCGGGTCTCTCTGGACTGCGGGCCGACGTTCCAACCGCTGAGCCAAACCGGCCAGGGCGAGAATGTTGTATTTTTAATGCATGTTATTTTTTTCAAGATGAACAATGTTGCTCTGGAGAACACATTATCACAGCCGCATATTAAAGGAAAGAGGGGTCAGCTTTACGCATTCCTTCTCCGCATTAGTGCGTTCACCACTGGAGTCCACTGTGCATTAATCAGAGTTGGAAGTTCAGTTCAGGAGATTCCAAGTATGGTGTTTTAAGAAACACTCAAGAAAAATTAGAGATTAGCACTTGGGTAAGCAGCTTATAGGACAGCTAAAATTGTAATCACTTTCTAGTTACTTAGTACCTGCCTTTTAACTCATTTCTTATATATAATTAATAATACCTTCTGATCTGTCAGAAGAGATCAGAAACAAGGATTATAGAGCTATCAAATATGGATTTCTTTAAAAAAAATTTATATTTAGTTTTAATACATACATACAGTAGAACTCACTCTCAGTGGTGTACCATTCTATGAGTTTTGACAAATGCCTAGAGTTGTAATCTACCACTACAATCAGGATAAATAGTTTCATCATCCTTCAAAAGTCCTTTGTATTTTTTCTTTATAGTCAACCCCTGTCCACCACTGATCTGTTCTCCAACCCCATAGTTTTGCCTGTTTTGAAAGTCATAAATTAAAGCAGATAGTATAGAGACTTTTGACTCTGGATTCTTTCACTTAGTAAAATGTATTTAATATTCATCTATGTCATTATATCTATCAATTTATTTTTCTTCTTCCAATTTTATTTTTCTGGCCCAGCAAGTTTTTTGCTGGATTTATTTCTTGTGTTTGTGAAATCTTAGTGCCCAGCACACCCAAAGTGTTACCAGAGAAATTCCTTGGTGATTCATCACCTTGTTTACAACAATGCAACCCCATCACCTGGTTGATGAGATCAGAGACAGGACAACTGACCAGAAGTCAGCCATCTACTAGGCTAGCCAGCAGCCAATGAAATGGCCTGTCAGAAGAGTTCTGTCCAATGGAGGCAGTGTATGGTGACTGCTGATTGGTGACAGCCTACTCAGATCCTTTAAGCAGTATCAGAATGAGCAGCCACTTGGCACAGGGAACAAAGGATGCATTCCCTGCAGCTACAAGATGGCCAGCTCTTTAGAACTTCAGTGGTTTGAACAATGTTTCATTCCCTACAAAGGCTTGCTGAGGGTGGTTGAGTTCCTGCTTTCATACTTCCCCTTGTATGTCATACTTTTGCTCTTCTCATTGTTCTTTGTTTCTAGATATTCAAAAATCCCTCCGTATCATTTCCTTTCGGTTTCAACAACATTCTTTATCATTAACTTTAGGAGAGTTTTTCAAATGAAATACTTGGCCTTTCCATACACCTGCCACCCCTCGCTCTCTGGGCTCCTGGACCTCCCTTGGAGGAACAAGAGTTGTGGCAAAGTCGTCTCCCTACTGCCACCTCCACCCCCTGCTGAGAATCACTGGGCTACAAATCCTGTTGCAAACACATGTGGTCTATCTCTCAGGAGTGTTGAGATGGCAAAAAAAAAAAAAAAAAAAAATGGAGAATGGTGACATGCTAAATCATTCATTTTACATATGAGAAAACTGAGGGTCAAAGAGGTGGCCATGTTCTCACATAGATGAGATGTGGTGAAACCACACCTACACAGGGCCTAGAATAGCACTTCTCACATGTTAATGTGCAAACGAATTACTTGGTACCTTATGAAAATGCAGATTCTGATACAGCAAATCTGGAGAAGGCTCTGATATCCTGCATTTCTAACAAGTGCCCAGGTAGTGCTGATGCTGTTACACTTTGAATGTAACATTATTTATTGCTCTTTCCACTGCCTTTATCAATGACAGAATCATTCTCAAATTAATGAAGAATGTGTGAAGGTTTGACAGGTTAGTATCTAAATATCCATATGCCTGATGTGTAGGAAGGAGTAGAGAAGATGGGAATGGTAGTGGAGACACAGAGGAGCACAGGGAAAGACCCATCCAGAGATAAAACACTCTGCAGACTCTGTCTTCAAAACTCCTGTAATTTTGGTAAAGACCCTGGGGAAAGCTCATAGAAAACTCGTAAGCTATTTAACTGCCCATGTAATCTTCTTGGAGCTGCAGGTTAAGACTCTTTCCCTGCCTAGGAAGGATAAATTGACCTTCTTTCTCTATAATCTTTTGGAGTGCAGTTCTCTGACAAGTAACAGTTTAGAGAAGGCACAGTGCAGGTCACGGGCAAGGCATGAGAGTGACCAGCAACACATGCTTCTTGGCCCATATCTGTTTTGCTGTGTATAGTAGAAAGGTGTTCCCAGATTTGGGCCTTGCTTCTAGCTCTGCTGCTAACTTGATATGCAGTCTTGAATAAGTCACTTAATTTCTGCATGACAAATTTTTCAGAGCTTAATGATACTGGCATATGGGTTAGGTCCATTTAAAACCTGGATAAAGTGATGTACAAATTAATACTAGTAGCTTAATGCAATTGGAGGACTGAAGCCAAGTGTTCCACTGCATTGGATTATAACCAGAGCCCTACACTCTGAAGCCTTTGGGTATGGAAGATCCAGCAATAATTCTCAAATATATGTCAGCAGTGAAGAGTTTCCAGTGATCACCTGGGCTCCATCACTGAATGTTATGTCATTTCTGCTTTGTGGTCCTGTCTCTCCTAGGAAATGCATGCAGTATCAATTAGGGAAAGATGTTGTGTATTTCTTAGTGTCATTGCTCACATGATCAGCCACCCCACTGCAGTAGGGGGCACTGTGGTTCGCTCTCTTCTTTTCAGTTATCTGAAGTCTCATGAAAATTATGTCATGGTGTATGTGAGAGAGAGAGAGAGAGAGAGAAAGAGAGAGAGAGAGAGAGAGATTATATATAGGGTGGGGTGTAAAGGTAGGTTTACAGTTGTGAGTATGGGAAACAGAGTTTAATTATGTACTATTATTTATCCATTATTGTATTATTTTTCCATGTGAACAGCTGTAAACCTACTATGCGCCACCTTGTACACGGGTGAGTGTGCATCAGGAAAAGGAGGGCATGGAAGGAGCACAGACTAAAGGTGGGAATGGAGGACAAAACATATTGAATCACAACCTGCAAATCCACTCTTGGCTATAACACTGTGTACGTCTGTGAATTTGATATCTATTGATTAACAGAAGAGACAGAGGCAAAGTCAGTTTTGTAAGAGTTTCCAATGATCGGAGAACTTCTAAGTCTCTCCTAGTCTCACCCCATATTCTCTCGACTTCTTTGCACCTGGGCTGGTGCTCTAATCTGGTGATACTGGGATTAGGTGGCATGAGGGTATTACAGAGAGATAAATCAGGATGCAAAGATCCTTTATTTATCTACTGTGAAGAAGGCAACTGGACTGCTTATAGAAGCAACATTCAGCTCTGTGAATATTTCTCAACTTTTGGTAAGTGTGAGCATGGTATTTGATCTAAGGGTTTTGGGGTGGGGTGTGGGTTGATATGGCTCTAAAACAAAAAAAAAAAAAATGGAAGAAGAGAACGGGTTGAACCTGTGGGCCTGGCCTGGCTCTGGGAATGAAAATGAAAGAAAACATGAAGGAAATGACCCCAGACTTCCTCGTACTGCCATGTGATAAGCTAATTAGTGAAACGAGTATTCCAAGGTCACTGAAAACCTTGATCACTAAATTTATTTAAAAGGAACCCAAAGTGTACCCTCCTTTTTGTGTGTGTGGCTCCATAGAAAACAGTTTTCTGGGAAAGGAGGGCTCTGGGGCACTGAATGACCACAGAGCAAACAGGTCTGGACTCCCAGGATGTGCTTGCAAACTTGGCTCAGGCACCAGGAAGCCAGAGAAAAAGAGCTGGAGCCATGGTGGGAAGGACTGACCGCAGTGCAGTGTGGGTGGCTTAGCCTGCTCCTGCTGAGGTTCAAGTGTGTGTTTGTTCCAGTGTGAAGCAAGGTACTTGCTGGGGTTTTTTTTCCCCATGGGTTTGGTTGGGGTTTTCCTTGGTTCTCTAAATTATTTGCTTCTCTCTGACTCAGCAGGGCCCTAGGACATTTATGGGTCCAACTCTATCGGAGGAAACAGTACTCCTATACCTCTGGCTTCCTCACACCCTCTCTTAGTCCACCAACAATAAAATTGTCTATCTGCCCATCCCTGTGCTGGGGACACTGGAAGTCCAAGGTGACAATAGCAACATCAGAAAGGCTGACCCAAGAACCTTCTGAAAGTGTTTTCTGTAGCTGGAGATAATGGAGGGTCATCCCTAGTAGCTTCCTACAGCTTCTGCTGCCTGGGGTCTAACAGGGCACCGATCCCACTGCTTCCCTACAACATTATGCCTTGAAATACCACCTGGTTGTATTCACATCTTTCTGCAGAAGAGTGGTTCGTACTCTTTAAAAGGGGAAGGATTAACACTGCTTAAAAAACAGGAATATACTCAGCTTCACAAAGGAATGAATTGCTTGATACTTTTAAAGGCAAAACCACGAAACTTCCTCTTATAGCGAAAATCAAGTCTGATACTAGATTCAGGATTATTCAGCTCCAGGAATGCCTTTGTACTTCCCGGGAAGGCCTGGTCAGGATGCGTTCAGCATGTGGCGAGAGCTGTGGCAGAGAGGACTGACTTTCCACTTAGGAAATGTTCCTATTTGTGCCGCTCCTGCCAGAGGTTCTACAGGAAGAACTGGAGGCCAGACAGCTGACAGAAACTCCCTAGGGAGAGTGACTATCCTAGGTACTTAAAATGAAATATAGCACGTGAGACACACAACAAACATAGTAACAGTTATTCGAATCCCGAGGGCCATGAAGATCCAGGGATTCACTGGGCCTCTGTGATATAACTCTTTCCGAGGAGAATTCTTTTAAATAATGCATCACACTCAGAGTTAGACGTGAACTCTGTCCAAGCCTAGAGCTGCAACTTCAAAATTATATAAATATGCAAAAAAAAAAACAAAACAAAACTTATGAGAAAAAAATATAAGTGCAATCAGGGGAAGATGGAAATCAAGTGCAGTTTTTAAATTCTTTGGCATTAATGTTAAGGGTGTCAAAAGACTCCAAGGAAGGCAGAATTTCTTCTTAGACAGAAGCAGGAATAAGTTAACAGTTGGGGCACTTGAAGAACACAGAGGATCACCCAGTAAGAGCTGATGACAATCACCTCGAAGGTTTATGACAAGGGGTCTTCGGCAGGTGGTCCAAGAAAAGGGATGTAAGGAGTCCAGGTGAGCTTGTGTTGCAACCATTGATCTGTTTGCATGGCTTTCTTGATTCCCAGAAGGTCTCGTACCTAATTGCTCTTTTTTGGGGCGGTACTTTTAACCAAATAGTCTATTGACATGATCTCATTTAATTTTCCCCATAACCCTAAAATGAATGTATTGTTTGATTCAATGTATCTATCTATTTACTTTATAGATAGAATAAAGCCCAGAGAGTTTATGCAATTTATTCAGGGTCACACAGTCAGTTTTGTAGAGCAAGAACTTGAAACTATGTTTATTTGATTCTAAGACACATACTTTTTACACTGCACTGCTCCCAGAGGGTAATTTTATTAATCCAGTGTATCTTAGGCCCTCACATTACATACTCTAGATCTAACATAGCAGGATCCTAGTTAGCATTGCCAGATGAAATAAAAGATGTCCAGTGAAATTGAAATTTCAGATAAACAACAAATGTTTTTTGGGTATAAGTATGTACCATTAAATATTTGGGCTATACTTATACTAAAAAGATTTGTTGTTTATCTGAAATTTAAATTTAACTGGATGTCCTGTATTTTTTACTTGCTAAATCTGACAATCCTAATCTTAGTAGGCACTTCAGAGGAGAGAAAGAAATGTTTGTGATTTCTTACTACTTTGAAAGAATTGAGAAGTCCAAAAACTTGATCTGAGAGAAATTCTCTAGTTTTTCCCTGTGGCTTTGGAAGAACTGGGTGTGTTAGTGACTGGCGGCACACTGAGAATAATGCTGCCGTTGGATGCCCACCAGCATCTCCATGGTCCGAACCACACTTCGGAAAGGCATAAACATTGCCTGTGTACTAGGGCAGGAGAGGGCCCACAGCACAGAACTGGATTCAGTGAGCAGAGGAGCTGGACGTGCACCTCCTAAGCCACTGAGGGCTTTGTGGGGGAAGATCTGCTGATGCCTTCTTTGTGGTTTGATGGAGAAGGTCACAGCGTCAGGTTCTCATGTTCAAGGTATTAGTTCAATTTCTTCATTTATTTATTCACTCGTTCAACAAATGTACATGGCATATCTAGTAAATGCCAGGCACTATTGTAGGGTCTCCGACCACAGAAATTCAACAAACACTGAAAATGCAGCCTCATGGAGCATATTTCAGTGGGGGGATTAAGACAAAATCCAGGGGTCTGGCCAGGTTTACCATCCCTGGTTCTAGCTCACAAATTAGTCAATGTGTTTCTACTGAACAAGCTGAGAATTGGCAGGCAAGGGTGAAAATAATAATTTGGGAAAATGCAAATCAGGAAAAAATATCTTGGAGGTAAAGATAAGAATTTAACATGATTTTGAAAGTAATAAAGAGCTAATGAAGTTATGCAATATAATATTTGGGGGATATGCCATGTGGCAGAAAGAGAGAAGAAAGGTCAGCACAAGCCAAAGACCATCAGGGAGAATTGAAGTTAAAGATATTAGAATAAATCTATTTGGGTAAAGTAAAGAATTCAATAAAAACAAAGCTCCCAGGCAGGGGATTATGACAGGGGTTGGCTCAAGGTGAGAGATTAAGGGTATTTGGAAGTTCTTTGGAGCTTTTCAGAATCTTCCCTCCCAGGGTAAATATTATCAACTTTTCTGATAGAAATAAAAAAATGTTTAGCTTAGCATATTTGTTTTATAAACATACCTTCGTTAACCATGGTCTTCGTGCTTGAAGAATGACAATTACATTTCTATAGCTAAAATGGAAGTCTGGGAAAAACGTATTGGATAGGTCCATGATTTAGATAGCAGAAAATGTTGAAGATTTCTGAGAAATATGTAGCTGAAGAACATCATGTCTGGATATGAAGTTAAATCACAAATTTACTACTTAATCACCCTGCATCAACTCTCCTATTTGTGTGTGTGTGTGTGTGTGTGTGTGTGTGTGTATGCATGTGTATTGGGCCGCATACTTTCATGGGTATTGGTATACCTGATTCAGAGCTACCCCATCCAGACAATTACATTTTCATCAGAACTAGGAGGGAAGTTTCTGTATCATGTGAGGATTAAATAAAATAAAGACTATAAAGAATCAAGGCCATAACAATGGGTCAATAAACATTTTGTCAAGCTATTTTGCAGTGGGATGAAAAAATGTGTAAAGCTTAAATAATATGTCAGTGCTGCAAGGACTACAGATATCATTTAGTCCATTCTCCTCCCTTTACAGATGGTGGGACTGGTGATCACAGAGGAGAAGTAGACCATTCTAATAAATTCACATAGAAAGCTAGTAGAGTTACTGGAAAAACATATCTACCTAGATTTTTGAAATCTATCAGTTGTCTGTTTGTATTCCACTTATGTTGAGTGTCTCCGTTGATTTATACCATATTTTCTTTAAAATCTCTTTAAAAGATGATAACTTCTCCTCGATAATGTCAACACAAGATACGTAAGCTTCTTTATCAAGGTGCTTTTCTTTCCCAGTTTACAGTGAAGGGTCTAATACGCAATGGTCCTCATACCTTGAAGGGTCTTTTTCTCTCTCACTGTTTAAGGACCCTGAGGAGAATCATCAGCTACCCAAGAACCATCAGAATGAGTGACAATGCCACTTTGGTTCCTCCGGCTTTAAACCAAGGTCCCATCACCCCACGGAAAGGGCCCCCCAAGTTCAAGCAGAGGCAGACTCGCCAGTTCAAGAGCAAACCTCCTAAGAAAGGTGTGAAAGGGTAAGAGCAAGCTGAAAAAGACTTTCTATTGTTTCTTTTCTCCCACAAGATTGCTTTGGGTTTGTTTTCGAATTAAATTTATTGGGGTAACATTGGTTAATAGGATCACATAGGTTTGGAGTGTATATTTCTATGATACAAGATCTGTATATTGCTCTGTGTGCCCACCACCCAAAGTCAAATCATCTTCCGTCATCATATATTGGATCCCCTCCACCATTCCCCTCCTCCCCCCGCCCCCCGGCAACCACCGCACACTGTCTGTGTCCAAGAGTTTCTGATTTACATCCCATATATGAGTGAAATCATATGGTTCTTAGCTTTTTCTGACTGGCTTATTTTACTTAGCATAATATACTCAAGGTCCATCCATGTTGTCACAAATGGCAGTATTTTGTCTTTTCTTATGGCTGGGTAGTATCCCATTGTGTGTATGTACCACATCTAGTTTTGAGATGTAATGCTCACAATATTAAGCAAACTTACAAAAATTTCCACCCCATCTGTTTTCCTCTCTGCCACGATCTTTGCTGAGTCATGTTTTCTGCCCTGGAATGCTTTTTCTCTCAGCTCCCAGGTCTAAGGCCAAATACAACACGGCAAGTGGAGCTTTCACAGCAACCTGTACCTTGACCTTCCAGAGTTGACCACTCCCTTTCACCAATATACCCAGGGCTTTAATCGGGCACAGAACCCCTGGCCATTTCCAGAACTCACAGTTTATTTTTATGGCTTCAATCTTATGTCTTAAGTACTTTGTTTTTCTCTATCTTACCTTGGCAATGTCTTATTTATTTTTCAACACACACTCATAAGTTAATTTCTTTTTGAAGCCATTATTGACTCTCTTAGACAAATGTTATTATTCCGTTTGCATTTTGTACATTCAGTTATCATAACTTGTACTACTTTATATTACACTTATTTGTTTTCATTTGTGCCTTGAGACAGAGCTTACTCAGAGAAAATTATTTCTTTTTTCCCTTAACTCCTTGTGTCTAACACAGTGTCTGGCACATAGTAGGTGTCTAATAAAATACTTTTGGGATGCCCTACCTGGTTTGGCTCAGAGGTTAGAACATCGGCCTGCGGTCCATAGAGACCTGGGTTCAGTTCCCACTAAGGGCATGAACCTCGGTTGCAGTTTGTCCCTGGCCCTGGTTGGTCGTGAGGGTGCCAGCCACTCGATGTGTCCCTTTTACCTCTCTCTCTCTCTCTCTCTTTCTCTCCCTCCCACTCTATCTGAACAACAACAAAAAATACTTTTGGGCAACTAGACAAATAAATGAATTAATCATTTTAATGCCTTTCATGTTGCTTTCTCATTCCAATTTCTATTTTTAAAAGTGAAGCTTAACTAAATTGCCCACTGATAATTCTTTCTGGCCCTCGATTGCTTCAGGTTAGATTTTTATGGGGGAAAAGTTCTCTCCACTGGGACACACTGTTTAACACCTTCCTGAATGTCATTTTCTTTACCTTAATTCAATGCAAACATAAGGAGTTTTTTAAATGCAAAAGCTTAAACCTCTTCTTCCCTCTTGAGTCAGGAAACTCTCTACAGGAGTATTTCCAAGATCCTTTTGCTCTGATTTCAGCTAATTTTTATTTTTTTCCATAGGTTTGGAGATGACATTCCAGGCATGGAAGGGCTAGGAACAGGTGAGCTACCTGAAGACTTAAGTGAGGACATTACACTTGAAGTTTCATCTTTTTATCTGCTTCAGGCCTTAAGGGGCATCTGAAAGTTACCAGAAAACCCTAAGGAAGCAGATCCTTTGCAGACCTAACAATGTGGGGTTTTCTTTTTCTTTTTTTCAATCCTCACCAGGGGATATTTTTCTATTTTTTCTTCAGATAGAGTGGGAGGGAAGGAGAGAGAGAGAAACATCAAAGTGAGAGGGACACATGGACCACTGGTTGCCTCCCACATGACCCTGACCGGGCCAGGGATGAACTGCAACAGAGGTACGTGCCCTTGACTGGAACTAAACCCGGGACTCTTTGGTGTGCGGGCCAACGCTCTAACCACTGAGCAAACTGGACAGGGCCAATGTGGGGTTCTATTTTGACCTCCTAAGTAAGTATGTGTGTGCCGAGAGGCAAACACTCTGAAAAAAATCAGGCCAGGTCCAGTGTTTCATGAATTATCTTGTTTTGTTAAACAACCATTGAGAGAATATAATGGTGAATTGCAGACTTGGTATAAGGATTCTCAGATTTAGTCTAGACCAACCTTTTTATTTTTCGGAAGAGAAATTCGAGACAGAGCGGAATTAAGTGACCATCTGAGGCCACTGTGAGGTATTGGAAACAAGGGTGGGGCTGGGGAGCCTTTCCACTCTACCAGGCCAGCCACTCCCTGCCTACTTCCTCTTTTTGCACACACTCTGGCACCCAGAGCAGGGGCCCCCACACTGAAAGTATCCAATGCAATTTTTTTTCATTGCCTAGAATTTTTATTCACTGGATGATGAATGTAAATTACTGCATATTCCTTTAAAAAAATTAATAGCTCTGCCCTGCTGGTGTGGCTCAGTTGTTGAGCATCGACCCATGCACCAAGAGGTTGCCAGTTTGATTCCCAGTCAGGGCACATGCCCAGGTGTGGGTCCCATCCCCAGTGGGGGGCGTGCAAGAGGCAGCTAATCGATGTTCTCTCTCATCAATGTTTCTATTTCTCTCTCCCTATCCCTTCCTCTCTCTCTAAAAATTAATAAAGAAATAGGCTTTATTTTTTAAAGCAGTTTTAGGTTTATAGAAAATTTAAATAGAAAGCATAGAGTTCTTATATACCTTCCTCCCCTGTAAATAGTTTCTCTTATTATTATTAACTTGCATTAGTGTGGTACATTTGTTGCAACTGGTGACTCAATAGTGATACATTATTATTCACAAAAGTTGATAGCTTACATTAGGGTTCATTCTCTGTGTTGATGTCCAGTCAATGTGTTTTGAAAAATACACAGTGTCATATAGCCACCATTACAGGTTCATACAGAATAGTTTCCCTGTCCCCCAAATCCCTGTGTTCTATCTGTTCAGTCCCCACCCATATATTCCTGACAACCACTGATCTTTTTGCCATCTTCATAGTTTTGCCTTTTTCAGATTATCTGTCATGTAGTTAGAATCATACAGTATATTGCTTTTTGAGATTTCTTTCAGTTAGCAGTATTCTTTTATTTAAGGTGCCTTCATGTCATTACATGGCTTGATAGCTCATTTCTTTTTATCACTGAATAATATTTCACTGTATGGTTCTATCACAGTTTATTTATCTGATTGAAGTACATTCTGGTTACTTCCCAGTTTGGGCAATTATGAGTAAAGCTGCTATTAACATCCTTGTGCAGGCATTTGTGTGGACATACATTTTTAACTCATCTAATTCACTAATTTTTTTTTTTTATCCTTACCCAAGGACATATTTTTTTATTAATTTCAGAGAGAGGAAAAGAGAGAGAAACATCAATGTGAGAGAGAAACATCTATTGGTTGCCTCCCATATGTGCCCCCACTGGGGATCAGACTTGCAACCTAAGTATTGAACCTGCAACCTTTCGTTGCATAGGATGATGCTTCAACCCACTGAGCCACCTGCCCGGGGCTCATACAAGACACTTTTGACAAATGCTGGCACTCATAGCAATGAGTGTCCTTACCAGGCAATTCTCAGGGTATTTGTGTTTTACAGTCAAATGCCATGTCTGGAATCTCAAATAAAAATTTTTAGCCACTTTATAAAGCTCATGTGTTATTTTTCTAAATCAACTGTTTCTATATTTTGGCCACATGTATTTAAGACCAGTATATCCAGTCTGGAAGATATGTTTACCTCTGCTAACAAATTTGTAATAATAGAAAGAGGTTTACACTAGAAGAAGGTTTGAGGTGTTTGATCTGTTCTAGTCCCATCTCTGCCACTGTGCACTTTTTTTTGCTAGGTGTTTATTTTTCCTGGGTTTCAAAACGTTTCTCTGTAATTCAGGGACAATACTGTCTTAATGCCTGATGCAAGGCACTGGATTAGAGGGTCCCTTGGGATCACTTCTCAACTGGATGTAGGCATTTCAAAATGTAAAGGAGCTGACAAGAAGTCAGAGAAGCCCAGGGAACCAATGTGGACGGGTAGAGGGCAAGGAGGATGCGGGTTTCCAGACCATGGGGATTTGAAGCGCCCCTACTTCTCATTTGGCCTGACTAGAATTCTACTTGCGGTCTCTCCTTAGTGGTTGTGCTTTGGGGAAGTCCCAGGGGATCAGTAAGAAGCACCCCCACAGGGTAGCTCTAGTCAAAAGCCTTGGGTCAGCTCCACAAAAGAGGATGCAGAATAGAACCTACAGTGATACCTAGTAGGCCTGGTTTGGGGCCAGCAGAGTCCTCAGAGGGTTAACTAAGCAATTGGTCTGATCCTTTGGGCTTCTGGGGCCCTTCTAGGTCACTTCCCAGTCACCTGGACAATGAATAGGAGAGAGAAGTGGGGTGTCTTCTGCGTGAAGGATGTCTTTCTGAGCAGAAGAGGCTCTCCTGGGGGTGAAGTTGGCTTATAAATTCCTCTTCCCTCTCTTGCAGATATCACAGTGATTTGTCCCTGGGAGGCATTCAGCCACCTGGAATTGCATGAGCTGGCTCAGTTTGGGATCATCTGAGGCAGCAGAGGTCGGCCAGTCTCAACAGCATCTGCTGCAACCTGGATTTCTTTTGTCCTATGGCGTCTTGAAATTTAGTCTCATTAGGAAGTGGTTTCTTTGTCTGACACCATCATTTTCTGTAAGGCACCACTGAGAGTTCTCTTAGTGTCAGACTCTCTCATAGAGTATAGCTTAGTTCAGATTAGTGGATGAAAATCAACTTTTGTTAGAACATTTCAAACTTGACCACCTTTCCTAGCAGCTGGTTAGAAGTCATCAATATTTCTCTACATTTTGTTTATGTTAGGTCCTTCAAATCTATTTTTGCTAGGCATTCTTTATGATTAATAAGTAGCAGGCTTTATAAACAACATTTATGCCATTCCCTCCCCTTGTCTTTAATAAAGAAGAAATTTACCTTGACCCTTACGATGGAGTGGTATTAAATGCTACGTGCAAATATCTGATGCCTCGTTCTTAAAAAAAAAAAAAAAAAAATTAAACACAGAAGGCACATTCCTGCAGGAAATAACCACAGTGCATGCAAAGAAGCACAGGATTAAGAGTCAATTTCTGATTCTTCTTTGTAAGTTTGTAAAGCACGTACGTTCTGGGTCTAACTTTCATTGAATAAGGTTGTCCCAGAAGTCCCCTGCTGCTTTAAATTAAACAGCTCTCAACGGGTAGAAAACTGGAGACTGAAAGTCAGGACTGACAATGGGAGCCTTCTTTTCAGTGCCCTGATTCACTTGATTGAAAAGATTTATATACGCAAAAGTGTAGACTCAGACGCAACTCAAAATGAAATGACGGTTTGCTTTACCCTCGAAGTTGTGTCAAATGCAATGTGCACATAGCTGCCTTTCCCCAATACTTCCAAGGCACTTGTGCAATTCAAATGCTGCCTCTGTCTGCCTTGGATGCTTTGGGTACCAGCTGTATTAATTTCTTCATTTCGGTTTTGTAATCTGTGGTAAAGCAATGAAGTAAACTAACTGAAAAGGCAGACAGGATGATGGAGAAGAAGGACATTCAGGTTCTAATCCTGGCTCTGCCAGTAAATTGCTCTGTAACTTTGGGCAAAGATGCCACCCTTTGGATCTCCCAGTTTGCCTGAATTTGATATCTAAGGTTCACGGCAGCAACCCATTCTGTGCCATCCTCAGAGTCTGAATGTGGGAACTAGAGGCTCAGCACTCAAGAAAACCTCTTTTGCTGCAGGTTCTATGCTAACTGTTCCACACAAATGACCTAGTTACTTTTGGGCTAGAAAACGAGGTGTCCACAGAACACATCTGGATTGGTGGGAGTTAAGGAGACCGAGGAATTCCAGACCATGGGAATTTAAAGTGCTCCTATTTCTCATTTCAGCTCGTGGCCTGACTAGGATTTCATTTCTGTCCCCTTCTTAGTGGAAAAAATGTACAAAAGAAAAAGTAAGGTATAAATTCAAAAGTGGAACCACAACTTGCAAGGAGTGTGGTGGTAATGTGCCTGTCCCCTTCGGCAGGGGCTCCTGCCTCCACCCACACATCTGGGTTCAGTCAGTGGCTCCATTTGACAGCCAGAGCCTTGGGTCTGCGGTTGTTCATTCCGGTGTGCCTTTTGGTTGGGGAGGTCTGGGTGAGACTCTGTCCACTTTTGGCTTACTTTGCAAATGTTTCTCTAAACATGAAGCAATAGCACTGACAAAATAGAATGCACCCAAAGGAACACCTCCAGTGGCCAGGAGGGAGAAGGAGCCAGAAACCACACTACATGAGGAACTGCTGAAGGAGCTGATAATATTTAACCTAGAGGAGAAAATGACAATTTCCAGTAAATATTTGAAAAGTTGTCATGAACAGGATGAAGCAGACCGATTTCATGTAGGATTCTAACATTTAGTGGTAAGCTAGAATATATATATAATGTAAAGCCCATTTAAATTCTAGAATTCTATTCTTTCTACTCCTCAATTCTATAATTTCTCTTATTTGTAATAAGAAGCAAGAAAACCTTTATTTTGTAAACAGCACATATGAAAGAGATAAAGGTAAATCATCATCCCTTTCTTTTATTTAAAAAAATTTTTTTTTTACATTATTGATTTTTAGAGAGAAAGGAAGGGAGAGGGAGAGAGAGATGGAAACATTGATGAGAGACAACACCAGCTGACCATCTCCTGCATGTCCCCCACTGGGGATTTAGCCCATAACCTGGGCATTTGCCTTGACCGGGAATTGAACCAGCAACCTCTTGTGTATGGGTTGACTCTCAGCCACCTAGCCACATGGGCTGGGCAATCATCGTCCCTGTCAAAGTCCTGGCAGCAGAGATGCATACTCAAAGTAACTGAGGAAGTTTTAGCAAAAACAAAAGTACTATTTACAAAGGCTTGAGAAGGGTTAAGGAGTATCTACAAGATACTTCAGTAACTTTGGGCTACAATATTACCAACCCTAGGCCTGAAGGAACTCCCAAAGGTCTGCTCTAACTATAAGAGGACCCCCTGAAATGGCTGTGACTTTCAGTAGAGAGGTGCAGCCAACCCACAGTGATTCCATGGGTCATTAGGAAGGAGAAGGGGTCAGGATAATAAATGTCCCCAGAGTTGTTCTTCTCCCATTCTCTACTCTCCTGTTGAATCCTCCCATTGGATAAACACAACGGGAGGTCAGAAGGCAAAGGAGCCCATTGGTCAGTAAAGTTCACCTCCAATGGCAAAGATCAGGTGGAGAGTGGGTGTGAAGGGGGAGAGGGAAACATCCGGCTTAGCAATGGTATTGATGAGCAAGTGCTGTTCATCAGCCAGTGATGTTTTGTTAGAGCTGGGAAATAACATGGACATGTGATTCTGATGCAAATCACTGAGGTGGAGGAAGGACAATGTTTAATAAGAACACAATAGACACACGAGAATACTCGCAGAAGAAAATTATCATAGAATTTAAAGGTTTGGAGGACTTTTTGAAATCATCTGAAATTTTCTAGATAATAAGAACCATTGAGGATCTCTTGTTAAAAACACAAAATGTGGGCCCCACTCCTGATTTTCTGAATGAGAATCTCCAAGGGAGGGACCTTAGAATCTGTATTTTTAATAAGGGTCCCAGGTGATTCTCCTATTTGTGCCCGTTTGAAAACACTGATGTGGTCCAAGCCTACATTTGAAACATTGGGAGTCAGTGACTTCTGAACTTGTTACCACCCAGTGACCGATTTAACTGGTTCTACTTGTCCCCAATAACATATGCAGTATGTGTGACACGGAGACTAACATTCAAGTATTCTGACTCTCACACTGTTTTTATTGGATAATAAAATGCACATGTCTCAGTATTCCAGACCTAACACAGTTAAATGCTTCTTCAATTGCAGAAAATTAATAATGTAAGTGTTGAACTGAAGCAATTTCAAGAAGTATAGGGCCAAACCATTATTTCCAGGATTACCTCTTGTCATTGCCTCGCATGGCCACCCTTTCTCCATAGCCTATGTCACCCTCTGTCCTCATTGGGAGTGGGGGAGACCAGGGAGGGAGACAGCTCTGTGTCAGCAGCTGGAGAGACAGTGGCTTTCACTTTTTCTCTACCCCTTCCTGTTTGTTTGCATCATTGGGTAGAAGTTGGGGTGGATGGTGCTGAAGATGTAGGTCCCAACCCTGTTCTAGAACTCAGGAGCATTATGGTCACAGCAGAAAACAGCATAAAAGGCAAAAATCCTCCTGTGGAGGGTCCCACTCTAGGAAAATATGCACAGCTGTTATTAAACACTGCACTGTTGACTTCTGCTTTCTTCTTTGCACAATGAGAAAAGCAGAAATCCCTATAAACTGAGGAAAGAAAGGAGGGTGTTTCTTCAATAACTAAGAAGTGAAGGGAAAACAGGAATAGACAAGAATAATCAATATGATCAATATTTAGCACAAGAAGAAAAACTATCACGCAAGGCTGAACAGCACAAACACTAATATTATGAGAACTGAGCTAACATGACACTGAATTGTCTTAAAGAGAGAAACAGAAAAGGACTTACGTTTTATACAGGCCACAAAAGTTGTGTGTGTGTATGAATAGTACAGTGCTTTGTGCAACTCTAACTGAGTTGTTTGCCTTTCTTCCTACTTCTTGAGGGCAGAGTCAGACCGATGAACCCTAAAATTTAAAAACAAGATTGATTAACTGATTGTCTTCATCAGTCACACCATCTCCTTGTGGCAGAACTAAGGTGGTCTGGGTTCTGCCTGGCTTTGCTACATAACACCTGCTAGATAATAGGCTAATTTCCCTGTCTTCTTTGGGTTCAATGTTTGAGAATAAAGGGAGGACATTGGACTAAATGATCTCCGAGGTCCCCTTCAGTTTAAAATTCTAAGAACCAAGTAATACATTTATGCTTATTTCAAACATGAACAAATCATTCTCTTTATGACCAAAAGTCCTAAGGAACAGGGGCCTCCTCAGAACGTGTGTTAACTACTAGCCTTCCACGCTTCTCCAGATCTTAGTGCTAAAATCAAGTCATGTAGAGTACTGCCACCTGCTGTAATGCACGAACACTTGGAGGACAGAACCATTTCAATTAGAAGACAGAAACCCACTGAGCTAATTCTGAATGTGTTCCCACTCACAGACAAATTTAAACCGTTATACTACTTGGCTATTGATAGTTATCCAAGCATAAGAGAAATGTTAAAAAGTATAAAAGTGAACATAATACAAGTTTCATTTCCACCCATTGCCTATGGCCCACTTCATTCACAGCCAATCCTTGTTATCAGTTTGTTGTGATTACTTTCGGAGACAGTCTGTGCATAGACCTATTTATGTGTACGTAGTAGCATTCTTGGCTGTGTACTCTGTGTCCCGTGTGGAGGCAACCAGATAGTAAGCACTCAATAAATATTTGCTGAATGAATGAATTAATAATGAATTAAAAGACTCTGGCCCCAGTATTCCTATCTTAACCTGGTTCATGTTGGCCTTATATTCACGAAAGCTCACTTGGCCAAACTGGAAAAATACTGTGCTGACCTAGATGTTTGTAAGTTCAGCTTTTGTAGACTCAGCTGAAACTTCCACATATATTCTTGTTCTTCATAAAAGTCAAGAAACTTGATGAAAAATTTTAAATAAAGACATATCTACTAGCACCTTGCTTGCATGTTTTTCACTGGTTTAGTAGAAGTCTGTTGCTCCATGCTTTAAAGAATCCTCGCATAGTAAATGAATCTTTTTGCTTTCTGTTAGAGACCACAAGGCTTAGAGCATACTAGCTACTGGTTTTAGCTCTGTTATATAGCGTATTGTCCAGAGGTAGAGGCAGGGCATTGCAGATGATTAATTGTGGGGTTAATATACAAAGTTTCTGGGTTTGTCCATTATGTTTCCATTGCTTGACACATCTGTCAATACCTTTAAACATGCTTGGGAAACACCACGGTGGTCAA